ATAAGCAAATTACGACCTCAACACAAACAAAGATCATAAAGACTCGGCCAGTGCCACCGGGATTAAGTGCTCAGGTTACCCTAGCTTGATGGAATCTCCAACGGTAATATTGGAATATTGAAAGAGGCATCAAAGCTCGCTCTATGTGCATTGTGCATAGCGGAGTGCAGAGCATCCAACTACCCGGCCCTCAACTGACAGGGTTTGCCAGTGCCACGGTTTAGGACATACGTGCTTTCCTAGGACCGAGTCAGGCCATAGAGCTTGATCATTGTGAGACCCGTATCAAAATATCTCTAATACATGTATCTAGCGAGGCGCCAATACCCCAAAGCGAAACCGCCAGTCCGTGACCAAGAAGACAAAAGTACTCGTCACTAAGTATTATAAGATAGAAGATGCGGAGGATAACATGCTTTAGCTTTCAAGTGCTCCATTCTACGCCATTCACGTTTCGTCCAATTTAATATTCAAGTTTTACCGGCTTGGTTTGCTGTTTACGCAGGATGCCTGCATACTCTATGAACCTCTCCAGAAATCCTCCCCGACTCTAGACCCACTTTTACTATCCTTAAGTAAATACATATATTTTATCTTACTAGAACAACACTGTTTAGAGGTATTGCAAAAAACACTTCGAAAATAACACATATATACTATTTAAATTTCATATTTTAGTACGACATCAAAATTTATCAAAAAATAGAGATATCTGAGCGGTCCGCAATCTTAGAAACCTTCAAACCTTGGAAGAACGTGATTTATTTCCGTGTGTCGTTAAACATTGAATTAGGTACACTGCCTTGATACTATATAGCGGCTGATAATACAACTTGAAATACAGCAGAATTCCCAAACATTGAAATAGTGCCAAGGTCAATCAATTCACAGTGTAACTAGCCAAGGTGACGGTGTATCCAGCAATTGGATACACCGTCAATTCTCTGTGGATGGAGCCAGAGGGGACGTATCAGGAGCCAAGGGGAGTGTGGCTGTGGTAGATGCCTATTCAAATTTCTTGCAAAGCTGATGCAGAAGAAGAGAAGATGCCCTAGCTACCGAACATTTGAAGTGTGTATCGAGATTTTGCGGTGAGAAAACATGCACCAACATTGAAATCCACAGTTATGGAAAGTACTGAATATGCTCAAGTACGCATCCAGCAAATTATGTACTGTTGCCAGAACATGATCAAATCCCCACGTATTTTTATATGATATCTTGGTGCTTAGGATTGGGTGCCTGAAATCGGTTCACGTCAGAGTGAATTTGCACACGATTATACTGTTGTGACAGTGAGCTGTCAATCTGAGGTTGAAATGGAGATAAAACAGTAGATTGGTCTTAAATCATAGAAAATAACAAACGTGAGGAGGGGAAAAGGGAAGGGATCGGCAGGGCAAAGATAAGCTTTGGCCAGCAGATGACATGCAAACAACACAAACAAGTAAACCAGTTCCCTACCTCACGTGACCAATAGTCACATAACACCAATGGTGTCACAACTGTGGAGTCGGGACTATCCATTAGAGGTCCTAAATTAAACCTTGGAACAGTTTAACTACCTCATTATTACCCATCCAGTCTCTCCTTTAGGGTATCACTTAAAAATTACTTAATTTATATCGCCTACCTGCCTAGTCCTATTTAAACATGCAATGACTCATTTACCTAGGTAAGCTTGGTTCACAGTAAAATTCCTAACCTCATTTCACCTTCACTCTTACACCTATCCTTCGAGTTCAATCTACTTGCCAGGAGAACAAGCTACACCCTTATATTCAATATTTACAAATCCTACACATTTCAAGATACAGAGCTTGGAATTCTGGGTAATCCCTATTAATCAAGAGCTTCGGAGTCGACTCGAGCTATGGCTTCTAATTCGTCCGATTTTTGTTCGTCGTTCCCAGACCTGCGAGAATCATGGCCTTGCTGCGGGATATGGCTTATTATAGGGGAATTAGCTGGGGGCTTAGTGGTTTTGATGACTCAAGCTATCTTCCTCTACCTCAATCGTACCCTATCAATAAATCAAAGTCCTGAAAGCGATCCCGAAAAGGGTCCTGGCCCTTCTGATTAGAGCATCGGATTTACGGGATCGACTGGTGTTCCCGTGCGCGCAAGCTAATCTAGTGGGTGTTGCTTGCTAAGGACATTGCGGGCGTGCTTCTCAGCCTAAATTACTATCTTTGGATGATGGTGGATGAGTTTTTGCTATTCGCAGCATTCAGGCACTGTAATAATCAAACGGGCGGTAGAGCCTGGAAGCTGGTTCTTGAGCAGGGGTTTGCTAAAGTCCAATAATATCTTGAAGAGCATACAGAAGTTGTTAAGAGTACCGCAATTTTGTTTGAAATACCAAATTTTAGAATTTGATACGAACTTGCAAAAAATTACGTAATTTCGACCATGTCGAGTTAGGACGTGATGAAATTGACCACTACAGTCCGAATAAGGTATAGAGAAGGAATATGTATAATACTATGGGCCATAAAAAGTATAGTTTGGCTATATGCCCAGGTGGTTTGTATTATTTTGTTTTTCTCTTTCTAGGATAAGGGTTCGAGAAAGAATCTGTGTGCAAGTGGTGAATATGATTTCGATCCACCCTGTATGTAAAGAGACTAGCAACATTTTGGAATAATACTGTAGCTCCCATTGTTCTAAGTCAATATTCGCTAGAAAAATTGATCGCTAAGGATGAATGCTAATTGCTTTATGACATATATAACCCTTTGAATAGTGGCGAAGTGCAGATATTATAAGATCCGTTGTTTCAGGGTGAAGCGTGTGACCCAATCATATTTCAGCTCCAGTTCAGCTGAAAGGGTCAATGCGGGGTCACACAACACAGGGTGATTCTCACCTGCTCTCACCTCTCTCACCCCGTCTATTACACACTCACCCCTTCTCACCCCGATGACGTAGAGCTAAAGCGGCGCTCATCCCATTCACATCGAGCGGTATCTACTAGCAATCTACTTCATTCTACTTTTGGATCTGTCATGTACATACGACCACAGGGTGTGGAGAACAGGGCTTCCCGTCCGCTCAGCCGTACTTAAGCCACATACTAAACGCGGTCAATTCTCAATGAGCCCTTGGCGTTAAAATGGCAACATATTTTACGTTAAGGTGAGTGTGGGTGATATGGGTGAGAATTCTCGAGGCTGGAGGTGAGAGAGGTGAGAACGGGGTGAGAATAGGGTGAGAACACCCTACCCCCGGTCTCTTACCCTTTTTCCACCCAATATTGGCTGGATAAATACCAGCCCGAGGGCGCATATCTAGTCTGCTATTTCCAAAATTATTTCCCCCCAGCCGGTCGAAAGAAGATACTACCAGAAACTCTATAGAGGAAGCTTAACGAGAGGAAGGCACGTGCAGAATCACGTGGTTTTACCTATAAGTACTAGAATGAGCGGGAACAAGAAGAAAATACCATATATCTAAAGGAGCTAGCCCCGGCTACACTCCGTAATTACGAGAACACAGCATTAAATTAGGCATTATTAGTTTTTTTCCTAGGGTTTCTAGAATATATCTATATCGCTAATACTCGATAGATAGAGACTTTCTCGTAACGAAGCAACTAACGCGAACTTTTCTAAAGAGGAGCCTGACCCTACTCCGCAACTCCTAAAATCATTCCCAGAGGACTATATTATCACGAGAAAGAATTTACTATCGTAAAAGACCGTATATCTAAATTTTATCAATTTCATCTCGAGGTAGGAATAGTCTTCTTCATTACCCAAGTCTACCCGGACCCAACCCGACCCAATACCTAATTGGGTCCAACTTCGATTACCCAACCCGACCCATTGGGTCTTCCTGGGTACCCACTGGGGCCCCATGGGGCCTAATTTTGCATAAAAAACTGGTCTTGGCATGCATAACCCTGCTAGGTCATCAAGTTAAAATACTGTTTTTTTACACCTGTTCTGGTTTATCTACTAGAATCTTTATGACTTTATATATAATTGTAGGAAATTTTAAGTAATCTTTATGAAATAGATATTAGAAAGCCCGGTTTTATATTAATTATCAGAAATAATAAGATAATTCTGGTCTTCTGGTGGTGAGTAGGCTAAATTATAAAATCAATATGGCTAGCATGTAGAAATATATATTTAGATATAGAGGAGTAAGTGACAAAAGTTGTAAGGGAAATACCTAAAATTACAGCGCCAAAACGCATAAATTATGCAGTAGCAAAATCCTGGCATATTTGCTATGTTTGCGACCCAATTGGGTATTGGGTCGGGTTGGGTCCGGGTAGACTTGGGTAATGAAGAAGACTAGCCAGTATATACATATCATATCAAGTGGTCAACTTGTATTGATTTTCCTTCCTTCTTGCTTGGCCGAATTTTGAAGTGCCATACCACCAGCTTTTCAATTAGAAGTCTTATCATCGTATACTGCTAAGAAGGCGGTATCCGTCGGGCCTGGGCCTTTATGTGAGGGCCTACTCACATTCAGCATTCAGCGATGGGACTTCTGGCTGTCGAAGCTTATGGAACTGGCCGGCAGGAAATCAGTCACCCGTTTGAAAGATGGGACTGCTCACGAGATTGTCCTGAGTGAAAATTCTCTGTTGCATATTGATGAGCTATTGCTGCCATGCATAATTGGCGCTCTAGCGCTGAGGTGGGATTCAAATCGTCACAATCTGAACCCAGGAGACCTGACGCATACATTCCAGCTCAGCCTCTGCATCATCTCCATAGTTGCATCCAAGACCCTCTGCGACTATGTGGAAGTCCTGATAGACATCAGGACAATCGGCACAGTTAGCTCCGGGGGATTCAAAATGGAGGGTGGGCGCTGTTACCGCATGATGGGTACGGGTAATGTCAGATTTACGTCACATTTACGCGATCACCTGGGAAGCGGGAGTAGCACAGCTACTCCAGGGCTACTTCCGTATATCCGATGTTCAAGATTCAAATATTCTAAATCATCACCTGAGTACTACCGATTATTATCAAGCCATGGAAACTCCGGTTCGGCTGTCGCCACAAGTCCAGCGGATTCAACAAAGCTCTCCCTACACTGACATCTTCACTGGTGCACCTGCCATCGTTCAGTCTCGGCAAAATACGCAGCGTCAAGATCCAGCAAAAACCCATGCTCACCCTGAGCCCAGTCGATGGAAAAACCCTGAAGGCTGGGGCGCTCGTCACATCAATGATACAGCCCCGTTTACGCTATGGGATCCAGAAAAACGCCGGTTCCGATCCCCAGATCAGTTAGAACTACAGTGGATTCGCAAGAAATTTGGCGCTGCATACTTCGGACAATGTGGTTGGTACATGTGGATTGAGACTGAAGCACCTCCTCGGCCGATTCCTTTGACTGTCGGATGCATGCCGGTGAAATTTTCTGGGCCTGGGTCATATGCCACCGATTCCATTCCAGAGGCCCCGTATCCAAGCCCGCGGATTGAAGATCCTTGCCCGACCCTTACTTGGCCCAAGATGGCCTTCCCGACGAAAGAGCAGAATGTCGCTCTTCTTACAGCTCTGAGCCCCCTGGCACACATACGAGCAATATTATATTTACCTACCTGGACTGTTGTTGAGCTGTCTTATGGTGATAGCCACATTTATAAGCCGCGATCCTTACCTGGGACAGTGGCAGGTCGTACCACACTATACCACCACGGCGAAGAACCCTTCTATGCCAGAATGAAAAAACAGACCCGAGCCCGGTACATAGATCCTTTGCAATATACGGCAAGCTCGGGGCCTTTGCCTCAAGATTATTCGAACTATCTGAGGCGTTCATACCTGAGCCCAGGCTGCAGAGTCGAGAGTGGCCTTGGCCCTACAGGATCCCGCTATGAATCTTCCAGCGCAGCAACCACATTGGGAATTAAAATCCGCAATGGTCGAGGCGATGAGTTTGTGACAATAGCGCACCATGGTTTTCTCCACTCTGGCGACGTTTATCACCCCAAAACTGGGGAGGATATCATTGGCACAATTTCAGATACTCGCCCGGAATTAGATATTGCATTCGCGAAGCTGACGCCAGCAGCCTCGACAAATTTCAGGAATGAATGTTATTTCCAAGCAGAACCACCCAAGAGGCTTGTATCAGGCGATGCGATTGAGGCCGGCTCATGGAGTGAAGCGGACGGTATGAGCTCTGGTTTGATTAGCCTAATGGCGATCGGTCGGCGTTTTGAGGCCCCAGTTCGCCCTTCAGGTCACCCAGTGATCCCATTTGCAGAGTGGAAGGCAATATCGGTCAATGCGATTTTTGGCGCTATGAACCCGACGATATCAGAAGGAATTTGTGGAGCTCCAATCGTGCAATGTGAAACAGGCGAAGTAGTTGGCTTTTTCCATCTATCCGATGGAACGAATTGTCTTACTGCGGATTTAGATGATTTGATAGCCGAAGGGTGGCAAGTGGTCTAGATTGATCCGAAGCTTAGTGTCTATTCTGGCTAATGCATTCTTGTTCTATTTTCAAACCTTGGAATTCTTGCTATGCGCCCTTCGAACTCCTCTTCTTCCACAAAGCTTCAGGACAATTGGCGAAGTTGGCTCTACATGTGATGACTTTTACAAGGAGTCTCTGTGACCGTGGCGGGTTTCCATTAAAACTTCAGGACAATCAGCATACATGAATAGATAGTCTAAGGTAAAATTACCATTATGGAAATACCCTGTTCTCCGGTATTATGTATATCAAGTGGCTATGTACTGTAGTGGGGAAATGGCCTACAAAGGGGGATCTCTAATTGAAGGATATCTTTCCGGTACACAGTCCTTACAGGATATAGCCTCAGTTCTCCAATAGGGAGGAATATGAACTCTTACACTCTCTTTGCTCTATCTGCTTCTGCTTCCTATAGGGGAGGCTTCCTCCATTGTGGTGTGTGGTGGTTTGTATGCTGGTTTGTTGAGGCTATATCATCCTGCCTGCATTCTCAGGCTTGCCGCTGAGCACCCTAGTTCAGTACTTATGCCAAGGGACTAGATGAGGGAGACTCAATCATGTTCTACTGCAGTTTAGCTGAGAGGGTCAGTGCGGTCCTCGCGCGACAGAGGGGAATTCTCACCCGCTCTCCCCCAGCTTCTCACCCTGTCTATTGCGCACTCACCCTCTCTCACCCTGGTCGCGCAACCGTATAGCGGCGCTCACCCACTTCTCACCCGGGCAGCAGCCACTTGACTATCTACCGCACATAGGCCACACGCCGGCAGGTAAGTAGTTGATTGGGTGACCACCAGCGAATCCCTGCTGTTGTATGTATGTTTTTTTGTTTCTATTTTTTGTTTTGTTGAGTTTACTGCCATCGCCGCCGCCCTACAACTTCAGCCCCTTCAGCCCTTCACTTGAACGCCCTGAAGGCCCTCTATTCTTCACCCGAATGCCCTAAACAACCCTGAACCGATGATTTGGTCACTCGGCTAAACTTTCCCTCTTCCTACCCTCCTTGCTGTCCGCGTCCTAGCCATATCTTTCCTTTTTTGACAGTCTGAACTGATCCTGATCGAAGCCGATCACGGAAAATAGATTTCCCGTGGCTATTACTTTTATCTCTTCTCAAAGGATGTAGTGAAGTTTCAAATCAGAGAAGATGTGTAGGGACAAATGATTCGCTCCTATAGAAATAAATGTATTTGAAGAGCTTCGCCTGGCCGAAGGCATAGGGTATATTACCATTTAAACTGACTTAGATCGGGGACCTCATTCTCCGGGATAGATCACTACTGCGGATTACTACTGTAAAGGACTTAGGGCTCGATATCCGGTGAAGGATCCACACTCTTGGCCCTATTAGGTTGTCGGTACTTATCTTATCATCTACGGAGATCTTGAAGATATTGATTTGCTAGTGGGGACCACTTAAGTCTGCCTACTTTTTTCGAACTTTACATTAAACGAGGTAGGAGAGTAGTATACGCTCTGCTCGAGTCTATTATAGGGGCTGTCAACCTGAAGACCGCGATTTATTTACTGGAAGTGATAGTAATTGGTAACGTCAATGTAGATTCTGAGCCTGAGATGCTTCTAAATCCGACACTACTATTTGTCGAGCTATTTCCCGGGAGAATACCTCTGACGAGAGCCATGATCAGCTGATATTAATAATTAGGCCCTCTAGGATCTGCCAGAGTCGTCTTCAGCTATTGCGTCCCCTTTTCAACAAGTCGATGGCCGATATGTCATATGATATTGCAACATGAGGCTATTCCCAACTTCACGCCTCAGGTGTCAGTTCGACACCTTATCGGTCAGGCTTCGTAATGACAGCCCCACTTCTCCCCAACACGGATGCATAACCTACAAGACCCTGAGGGTTCGGTGCCCTTCCATTAGGGATTCGTGAACCCCCCCTTTCCTGTACCCTTTGCTTACCTCTGTTACATGTGGGCCACATCAGACCGTATATTGTAATGTGATCCATCGTCTTTGCTTTGGTCATATAGGGAAGTGTTGAAGCTTGTACATAAATTGAGGATCATGGAGAGATCCATGATAGCAAGAGGCAGTGATTTGCCTTCCTTACTTAACGTCTATCTTCCTACCTAGTCGACAGGCTTTCTACCCTGTACAAGTAGTTATTCTCTAATACGGATATAGTGGTCTTTTTGGTCTACGTTTAGAATCAGGTGGCCTAGGCTGATCCTATAACATTGGATAAGGATGCGGGAATAGTTTAAGTTGATTGGTCCATATGAAGTAAAGGTCGATCGCTTTTGACATCTCTCTATCCACTTTGCCTAATCGGGTAGTTGAATACAGTTAGCTCCTTCCCTTCTGTTCCCTACCTTTTCTTTATTTGCATGCTCTTCACACCTAGGCCTAAAGATACTCCTCCCATCTATCTCCCCTGCGAGGCTCTAGTTTCTTTTCTCGCCACCGCTCGCACCGTCCTCTTCGAGGTTCGGCTCGCTTCCCCTGTCTCTCATCCGTCCTCTTCGAGGTTCGGCTCACTTTTCCCCACGTTCCGACATAACGCAGCGCGCTTTTTATTTTCTTCGGCCCAAAACACCACCTGTTGCTCTCGTCTCAGAAAGCACGCAGAACGGAGATGACTTCGTCTCAAAAGCCTCTCGTCGTGGGAGGTCATGGCAAAAACCCAGCGTCGCTACCATCACTGTTTTTCTCCACCACAGTGCCCGTTATCTACCCTAACACGATAATTGTCGCCGCAACGCATCCCAACATCAAAACGGCTAATCCTCGTGATGACGGGTGGTTCATCTCCGACTTTTATGCGTTTAACTTTCTGCTGAAGGGCCTAGGGGCTAAACAGACGTGGCTGACTGCAGCCGACCCTCACAAACTCGTCGCCGAATACGGGCCCTTTCTACATGGAAACCCGTACGAGACCAGGAGGGAGTGCCTTAGCTATGAGCTCCTAGAGAAGGAGGAGCTAACGCCTGTGACTATCGTCCCAACAAACCAGATGATAGACCGGTTCCTCGCGGAAGCCAAGAGGGGCTCTGAAATGGCAAAGGAAAAAGATGCACCCTTGCTTCTGCTAGTTTTCTGCCATGGCCTGCCTAACTTTCACCTTCTTCTCGATAGTGGAAACATCAACAAGGGTCTGTCTATGGTACAATTGAAGGGAGTACTTGAATTTGGTGCCAACGTTACTCTCGTGACTACTGCCTGTTATTCTGGGGGTTGGGCGGTAAACCCTGATTTCAACTTTCCTGCCATGGCCGCTGCTTCTCATTTGGATGATAGCTCTGGCCAGTCCAATGCCTGGGACCAGTCCCTTAGTATTGGCCGTTCGTGTGGGTCTGTATTTGCAACCACGCTCATGGAAAGCTTGTCGAGTGCAACAAGCCCTTTTCTGGATGATGAAGACCAATTTCAACTTGCGGGCTCACTAGGGGCAACGTCATTACTTCAACCAACGAGTCCGAACGAACTGCAAACAATGACATACAACGAATTCTGTCGCTCAGTGTGGGAGATATGTGAGCAGCGAGTAACTCGCCTGTGGGATCACCAAAGCTTTAGCTTTTCTGCAAAAGATGATGCATGGGAGTACTCGTGGGTCGGAAGGACAGGCATTCCGCTTACCAATTTCGAAACCCGTTGGAACACCCTGACCCCATATGCCTATAATGGCCCTGCCGAAACGCGAGAACACCGAAATGTTGACCCGAACAATCCATATTTTCTCCAGAGTGGTCCCGTCAAGACCGGTGGTGTTAATACCGTTGTCGATGAGATGACATCTAGCATGGCGCATGGGCGCATCAAGACGATGGCCCGACTCTTTCTCATGACTTCCCCTGGCGATTGGACCGCGGGATATATGCCCTCTCTTGGGGGCAGGATGCGCGCTTACTACGAGGGGGACGGATATGAGGAGGATGCTCCTGAATTCGCAGCCACGATTCGCTTTCGCTGGGAAATGGGCCTTCTGACTGACTTTCTTGTAAAAAAATTCGGTCTTCCTATCCCAAGTGGTGAGATATGTATCATGTGGGACCGGCGTGTATGGGAGATGGATAAGAAACTCGGCAATCGCCATCAAAGGTCCGAGACACGAAAGATGTTTGACAAGATTCACCGAGCTCTGGATCACTGTTTAGAGCCGCCCCGTCGAAAGGACCAAGGGCCTACTTTCTACAGGCCGACTGAATACTTCTCCGCTGCTCTTTTCGAAGGGAAACAGAAATGGGAGGAGACCCTCAATATGATTCAGGAAGTGCGAGGGTTTATGGCCGACGTTGTCAAATTCCATCGGCAGAGCGTCGTTGATGATAGCCGGACTCAAAGTCGTGGCAAGGAATGGCTGAAATCGCTCGGGAGGAAAGCTAGACGTTCTGCAAAGCCCTAAAGTCTGGATAATATGTACTTCAAGTCCTTTTCTTTTCTTTTTAAGCCTTGCTATTAACTACTCATGTCTTCCATTTCTACGACATTACGTGTCAGATGTAGCCAAGAGATGTGGCTGTATTAAACGTGTCTACTGCAGCGGCGAGTATCTTCTCTTGTCATAGGGCCTCATAAAGTACGTACTGTGCATACTATTAGTGCCTTTCACCGCCCCCCAACCCTTCCGGGTTGTAGGTGCGCCACGTATGAACCGTCACTTTTCCTACCACCCTGTTTTTTGCCTTCCTATCCAACACCACCATCTAAATATGCCTAAATTCAATGAATCACGTATTTCCGAGGCCTGCTTAGCTACATCACGCGTTAAGAAGCCGAATATCGCGCATTAGCACGCGAATTTGGCGTATCTAGGACAACGCTTTCGGATCGGATCAAAAAGAAAACGAGGCCTAGAACAGCTATATGTAATGCTAAACACGCTCTCGAAGCCTATCAGGAAGAAGCTCTGACTAACTGGATTCAATATATGAACGATTGCTATATGCCTATCATTCCTAGAATACCAGAATCGTGGGCGAATCGTGCATATCAACGCGTCGGAAAGCCGCCGATTAGCAAGATGTGGGCGTATCGCTTTATTCAACGGCTTCCTAAAAATCTTCAATTAGGGCCCACGAAGCAGTATACGAAGGAATCAAAGCGAATCTTAGCAAAAAACCTAGTAGATCTTACGAATTAGTACGATCTACTAGCCCATGCTAGTCGTCTATTGAACTCGTTCTGCACCCAGCGATGTTTACTTGGACTCATGTTTCCCGTCAGATATTCGATTGCGGTACAACATGGGCAAGCTTTTGTTGGGTACTGCTTTGCAGGCTATTATAAAGAAGGGGAGGTTATTAGACAGCCAGCTCACCGCCTGTCTTATCTCGGATAGGCTGTTCCTTTATGAATTCTGATCGAAGTGCTCGAGCCTATTGGTATCTCCCAACTCCCAGTGCAACACTACTTATCACCATATTTTCGCTACGGTCAAAGCACCGCGGCCTTGACGAACTTTTTGTGCTGAGATAAGCTCTTGCAAGTTGCCTGCCGAGTATCTTACCGAATAATCGGGAATAAGGGGAGTGTGAAATCTACAAGTAAATGGTTAGTTGGATGCCTACTTGTCTCTTTCTTAGAATAATTATATTTCAAAATAGGCAACTGGTACCGCCTTTATCATTGACGAGTGCGGGTAAGCACCCCAGAGGCTGCCGAGACCCTACACACGGCCAAACAGATATACGACAAGACCATTGATCTTGATGTGTGGGAGATGGTCCCTTTTTGAATATTCACAGGCTCTCTTCGGCTCTGCTATTATTCCCCGATTGATTGACTGTCCTTTTTTGACCATGAAAGAGTGTTTCTACTATCCTCAACCTGAGCATGTACTTCATGAAAATCGAAGCAATCGTAGACCTTCGTAGCTTGACTGGATGAGCCCTCTAACTGGGGTTATGACCGAGTGGATCAGAGATACGGATTTAACCGATATGAGCCACCTTCCAGTATTTGCATATTTCATGTTCCCCGAGCAAAGCTAAGATTTCGATACTTGAGTGATTCAGATGGAGGCGCATTCTGGGATTCAGATGGAGGCGCCTGCCGCCGTGTAAGGCATAGCCTGTGCCACAGCTTTCTTTTCCTTTTTCACAATACTAACCTCAAAGCGTCAAGCCTCTGAAGTATCGGACTGACTCCAAGGGGAAGGAATTCCCGTGGGGTTGGAACTTACTATTAATCGCGCTGAAGTTCTATAGCCAAGCCCCAGTCTAATCTTTGAGCAATCTGCGGCTAAAAGCCTTCAGCCTACATATCAGGCAGTCCTAGAACCAGTATGAGCAGCTATAAATGAAATAAAAGATAGCTCTAATATTCATCGGTCTTTTCAACGTTGTATACTAGCAGTTCGGTGTCACTGCTTCGGCATCTTTTGGAAGAAGGCGCATATTGACCCCTTCTATTCGTTGGTCTTGGGAGGAGACATAGATCCTCCAACCCTCATGAATGCACCTAGATGTGTTCAGAACCTAAATCAAAGCGAGTGCATAAGAACAAACCGGCATAATATTAGAATAAAGATGGGCTACTTCTGACAAGCTACTATCATGAACTGGACGAAAATTCGCAAAGCAAGCATGCAATCATCCGTGCCTATCAATAAAATTTAGAACACCACAGTGTGATGATATTAGACAGTTAAGGGCTAGATAAAAGGAAAGTCATTTCCAAAACAGTATCCTGAATAAATTCACCAGTGTGGAGCCCCTATCTTCATCTTCATCATCGGGCAAAGAGATGCCCGTCAGTTGAGACGTTGCGATCTGCGCAGTACGGATGCCATAACTTATGTCCACGCAGCTGTACCGCGGTATTTCCACGAATTGGCCAACAAAGCCCAAGTTCGAAGTTTGCGGAGGTATCACCCCTGGACGGTCGGTTGCGGAGCGGACCAGTAACATAGAGCTCATTCGTGGCATAATACGAGGAATGGTCAGAGTTTGGTGGATCGGCGAAGAATATTTCAGATGCCCGAGTACCTCTTTAGTGATTTCGGCACCGGAGCAATGTTTCATCTGTTTTTGCACATAGTTGCCATTGCGTTGTGGGGATAGCATCAAGCCCCAGATCACGTGGATGTCTTTTGGCTGTTGACTGAAGACTGGCTGCGTAGGTATACAAAGCCTTAGCCCCCAGTGGCTTTCTGATAATATGATGAAGGTTCCAGCTTCTGCATGGGTCGCTATCGAAACTAGGAACTCCCAAAGGCATGGGTCCGCCGTGGTAGTTGTAAAACAAGCTAAAGTCGATTCATTTTCCCGGGTGCAAAAGTTGTAGGGATTGCCAAATGGGTGATCATTAGTCTCAAGTTCCAACCAGAGCGCCCAATTCTCATCATACTCTTCGTTAGGCTCGATTGACTTAGAGATGGGAGGAGAATCATTTGTACCAATTGATGAGCCCGAGACAGTGGATCCTAGCATCATTATGACAAAATCGTCTGTACCTATTTTCTTCGTAATTTGAAATCCATTTTCGAGGAGACTCAGTTTTGAAACCTTTCGCCGACCGTCTTGTATAGTGGTATCAATATTCGTCACTTTTGTATCAAAATGAAAATCCACGCCTAGATTCCGAAGATGGAGGTACAAGGGTAAAAATATCGACTCAAATTGGTAGTTCCCCGTGATATCTAAGCAGGTTAGGATACTCAGAAAGTGGGTTTCTTGGAGATATTGACACAGAGCTCGTCTGAATTCAGTAGCACTGTGCCATGGCTGGAAACCGAATCTAGTAGCGTAAGGCCAGGGTGAAGTAAAATAATCGGGGATTTGCTTACTGAGCTGTCCAAGTAGCCCAGAATATGCTTTGAAAGAAACTATTGGGCATAACATCTTTAATTCTTTTTCTCCCCAGTCGTTTCTCGCTTCTTAGCACCAATAGGGCTAATTTAACCCGATTCTTGATGCTCAAGCCCAGGCTTTTTAGAGATATATAATCTCGCCTATTAGACCTTTGGATTAGAAACCTAGTTCCTTGATGGCGGCCAGTAGGTGTATGACTGGCTTCTTCTTTTTTGATTTCGTCCAGCACCGTATGACCAGGCGATTTTTCTGATGGAATAGTCGCAAGCAGCTCCTTCAAAGGCGACCCGACCGGAACAGGTAAACATCCCGCAAATTGGTCATATCCATGTACGGAGTCACCGTTATGGTGTAAAACTGCACCGAAAGAGATGTGTGAATCCAAGATATGAACATTTTCTGGCGGTAAATTGGCATGTTGTACTAGATATACCGCCGATGCCAAAGATGCAGTTCCGCTTCCAAGGATCCAGGCCTCAATTGCGAGCCGGGATCTATTTAGTTGAGGTTGTGATCCGTCCATTGATTGATGGAGACGGTGGATGAACAACGGAACTTTGAAGAGTTAGGGGTGCGGAAATACGAATGTCTTCATTCGTCCATCATTTGTCCATGAGGATATATTATCAATTGTCGGTGTAAAGCCGATGTATAATAGAGTGATAATCGAGTCAACATTTAAAGGAGGATTCTAGGGGGTCTCAAAACTTCCAGAGGCTCGGGAATATAGCTGTCACCAGACTGCAGAAGACTGATCTCTCGGCTCGCATTTCCATTATCGATGGCCAATGAAGGTTGGACGTGGCATCGAGTGGTAACGTCAGCAGCCCGCCACCTAAGTTAGTTAACTAACAACTTAGTTCTTAGTCGACTATATTTAACCATTAACTTTATCTCTTATTTATTTCACGTAATGACGGCTGACGAATTGGCATCGTCCGACCGAAGGGATTGAACTACAAATGCCGCTTGCATCACCACTCATCACTAGAAGGTCACGGGGTAAGGATGAAAATTAAATATGAGGCCCAGTTCGCCGGAATGCTTTTCGTTGTATTTGATATCGAAGTTTCACATCACGCATATCAATCATAACATTTCTACACCCATACACCTTTTCAAATACAGGAAAACCACGTCAAAATGCCTAAGGGGTCCTGTCTATGCCAGAAGCTTCAATATGAATATCAAGGGGAGCCTGTAGTGAAGGCAAGAAAAGTCAACATCCCTAGTTACAGACTAATCACTGATCTCAGTATACACACAGGCAACTTGCTACTGCTTGTCCTGCCGCAAGATCAGTGGCGGTACTAACTCTGTCAATCTACTATTTCCAGAAGACAAGGTCCATGTCATTTCTGGCTTCGCCAAACAATTTACTCAACTTCATGAAAGCGGCAAGAAATTGACTATCAATTTCTGTGGCGAATGCGGAGGTACTGTCTACAAGACACACGAGTCTTTCCCGGGGAGTATTATTATTCTTGCGGGGACACTAGACGATCCTGATGGACTTGAACAGTCAAAACCGAGCCAGGAATTGTTTTCTAAGCACCGTGTCTCATGGCTATCAGGCTTGAGCTGGGCCGAACAGAAACAGGAATTTTGAACGACCAAAAAGTGGTCTTTGTTTTGAGATAGTTTGCATTCAGTTTTTCCTCGACTACGGATATGCAGAAGCAGTAACATTTTTACAGCCCATTTTGGTGAAATTAATTGCGAGTTTGACGTAAGGAAAAGGTGTTTTATCGTAATGTAAATTGAGTTCAAAGCTAAGTCTAGAACTTAAGTCCCTGTTCCCAGCGACAATAATTCGTTGAAGCATTTAAAGAGATCTGCGGGTGATGAGGCAATATCAAGAATAACGGTCCCTGTTACGAAAAAAAAGTGGCCGAGACTGCTGACGATATTATAGTCTTGCCTACTAGACATCTGCATCAACTCCGCCCCGCTCTTGGGCCAACCTCTCTGGGTAGAGCGTTAGCATACCATGGACAAGGGCTGTTCTTACCTCGCTATCACCACACGATAAAGTACTTAGAGTTCGTATGAATTAATACTCTTCGGGCCGTAGCAAGATATCTAATTACTGGAACATATCATATACGTTTATCTATGTGACGCGTTGAAGCAAGACCTAAATTTGGGACATACAAGCCGTGTTCAAAGGACAAGAGAATAGTTTACTGTATGCATTTATTGTAGAAAGAGAATCTCGCAGAATGTCTCATGTCGACGTCAGAGTTATCTTAGCAGGGGTCTCTCTCCGGTCCAGACCCTTGACCGTTTCGCAACCCTGGTTAACTCCTGTCTTTTCCCCAGAAACTTTACCTATTCATGGGTCACGAGTACCATGATCTGTTTGTACTGTTTGATCATCCGCTGGCGGGTCAGATGACTGCGGATAAGTGAACCAGACTCTTGACCCTCAAATCACGGCGAGCATTGGAGGGCTACCCGCAGGGTAAAGTCTTTCGACACACATCAGCTTAAAAGCCTGGGTGCACGGCATCACCATCATCATCACTAGACTTTGACCATTTGACATGATGGTTTAGGAACAGAAAATTTCTTATAAATTGACAGTTCGTATGCGACGCTTGTCTACCAGACCAAATCTGGTGCTAATCTATTAACTGACTGATTGTTTTGATCCATCCAAATTCGTTTTGGCTATCGAACACTGCTCTGCCCGATAGCTTAGTTGCTTTACTGAATCAGGTAATTAGTTTGTTGAGAGTAGCCGGGAGTAATCATCGGAAAGCTCAGACAGTCGGTTTCCAAGTTCATGAAGCTCGACGTTCATCTCAGTCACACCCCTTGACTCGCGTCACTCCCATTTCCCCCAATTATGAGGGTAAACGAGAGATTCATATTACCGCCAAGGTTTGTCACTACTATATTTTGATAACAAAGCAGAGCCATGTATCTTCCTATCTATATATGCAAGTAACAGTCTGCATCCCCTCACAGCTTCGCCTTCTCCCGTACATTCCCATCACTCACACCAACATTTGCTTGATCCCAGTCACCTGAAAATCGATAAACTACATCCTCGAAGGACCCTTCCGCAAAAACATAGAGCCACCGTAGTCTTTCTTCTCCTCGATTCACAATCCCATGTTCGGCATCTCCTGGGATAAACACCGTGCTCCCGGAACTAACTCGACTGCTTACCCCATCGATCGTGATCTCACCTTCACCCTCAAGAATATGATATATTTCAGCTTGTTTGTGTCGATGGGCACCAAGATGTCCCGTGTGTGGGGGACAGATGGCAATCCCCACGCTAAGATCAGAGGTGTTGGTTTTGGGTGCTGAAAAGAGGGTATGCCAGGAAATTTCGCCGTGGTGGGGGTCCGGAAAGGACTCGGGAGGCGTGTCAACCATATATGACGTGGGGAGGATGAGGGCAGATGGTTTTTGAGCCGCGGCTGGGATCTGCTCTTGGCGTTTGGGCATTTTGAATGAATACCCAAAGGGGGAGGATAGATCTGCATGTAATTTCCGATCGATTTCTTTTGGCCTTTGGTATTGACATTATTCTTGAATCGTCTTTCTGATGACTACGGAGACTTATACTTGCTCGCCTTGAGCTTACCCCGCGTGCGACAATATTATATGGGAAAGGGTTTCCTGTTTGGGTGGGAACTTCCATGGAGGATTCATTCTGGGCCTATAACCCGATGGAGACGATGGACCAATATAATCGAGACAGTGTGAGATGGCGTGCTAATATTTCCCAGGCACTACTGCTGATGTACCAATATGGTTGGGCATAATGGGGCTAGGGACGGGGCTACGGGCCAATCTCATCAGAGCATGAGGAGGCATGGGATTAATAACCTGAACAAGACTTAGTCTGGTGTCAAGGGCTTCAGTAGTCTCGATGAAGGGAATAATGTAATTGATGAGATTCTGCTTTTTGGAACGTTATGATGACAATGAATCAAATGATCGTAGTTCGATAATCTTTTGGGTGCCCTTATGGCTTCATATTATGGAATTCTATATCCTTTGAACTACAAGTAAATCAATGATCACATTTTCCTACTGTGGCATTCAACAAGCGACAAAATAATTCACTGCTGACATAGTTCTCGATTTTCATGCATGATCAACAATCTGCTCACTAGCAATACCACTGATACCATCAATTGTCTTCCTTTTCACCAATTCCTCCAGCGTGTCTTGAGACGACATCTCAATCCCAAGCCATTCATTATCATTCTCCACATAGTGAAGCTGATATTTAGAATCAAAATACGCACCCGCCATAAGAAAGCTAATCGCTTCCATACTGAAATCCCCCGCTTTCACCCTCTTCGCACCTTCCGTCATCCTATGAACACTTTCCTGCTGGACAACAGTCCACGCTTCAGGATGTGGCTCACAATTCATGATAAGATTAAAAATCTTCTTTTGGGTAATGATTGTATCGTGAACCTGCACACAACGACCAACCACCCGCTTCGGCTCTTTGAAGACTCGCGCAATAGCTTTCGCCGTAGTAAGAAAGGACGAGGTACTCATGGCAATTTCTCCGTCATTGATCATATCCATCTTTCGATTCTTGAAATCAACAACGAACGGTATATCAAAGATGTACTCCAGGAATCCACCAGGTGAAACTATAGTCCACGGCAGCTTGTCGGATCTTTCGTCGAGATATTCTTTAATCTCGTTGACAGTCACATAAGGCGGCAGGGATCGCAACTTCGGTCCGTTCTCTGATTTAATGCTCACCGCGTAGTCTGCCGGGATGAAATGCTTGATACCAGTTGCGATGCATGCATCGATCAAAGGCTTCTGAATAGGTACTGCTGTTCCGGACACGGTGGAGACAACTGCGTCGTAACCCTGTATAGCATGTTGAAGGGACTCGAGAGAATTGTAGTCTACTTCGGATACTGCTACCCCGTCTGGTAGAACTTTAAGCGACGCTGTAGACCGAGTGATAACTTTCACGTGGAATCCAGCTTTTAGCAGTTCTCCGAGCACAACAGACCCAAGTCTACCTTTCTGTTTATTATGTCAGCTGAGTTGATTTATACGTAGCTTTTATTATTGACCCACGCCTGCTAGTACGACTTTCTCGATGGCAACGGACTCGACCATAATTCGTACTGATGGTTTATGATAATTATCGAAATTAGAATATGATAACATCAACAGCATTGAGGCTTGTTTTATATATATATATACATATGCGCGTGGAACATTCGCACTAACTTCCTAACTTAGGAAAGCTGCTGGGTCAATGTGTGACTTTTGTTCCTAAACTGCTCCACATGAGAGCTTCTCCCACCTTGGTAATTAGCTGTTCACTAGGAATTTGCATACGTTTCCGCAGTTAGGGGCCGCAAATGCAGAGACAAATTGCGTTGAATAGTTTACGTGAACAAGAAGTTAGAAGCTTGTAGGTAATTGGGACAAATTATAGATACACAATATATATGAATTTATTTGAATTTGTAGATTCAGTTCAACATGACAATAAAGTCGAACACGAGAAGAGTCAAAAAATCAGTTGATGCAGTGGGGAAATAGCCTACGATAAGTTTCCTTCTGATTAGAGGATATTTCTCATGGTACCCTGTCTTTACAGATATAGCTTCACATCTGCGATAGAGAGAAATACAACTACTACACCCTTTCGCTCAGAAAGATTCTGTTTCCTCATTGGGAAACCGCCCTCCATCGTGATGTGTGATAGATTAATGTCGAGATGGGGAGGGAGGTGAGGAGGTGGTGAGACTAAGTATTTGATCTGTCATCGATGGGTAAGGGGGTCTAGACGCGTATCTCCACTTCGTAGCCTTGCGAGCCTTGCGAGGGGCTGGATTTGGGCAACCAATGAAAGGTGCCGGAGAAACATTGCCATGTAGCCGAAAATAATAATACGTACTGGAGGTTCGGATTTCAGAAATCGTGCGCTATGACCGGTTCCTCGAGAAGGATGACCAAAAGTCTGTCTGCCATAGAATAAACCCTAGAGACGTATTTTGTTCTACTTAAGCTTACCGTATTTGTCATTACTAGCTCCATGCTCCTCAAATGTGCGTCCATACCTCTCAATACCAATCCTAACTGCGCGAATACGGTGATTTTAGTGGAAAATTTGTGCCCCGCACGGAAATCATGCAAGTGAACACCTGCACCTTTCCATTCCCGGCTGTATGAACTAATATTTCATCCAGGGTACTGCAACTACAGCCGAGCGGTTTACGATAATTTACTCCTCTTACTTTCAGCCAAAATCACGGCGTACGTCTTCACATTGTCATTCTAGGATATCCTCTGGAAGGTCAAGGGCGCCCAGGGAACCCTAGCCTATTATTATTATTCTTGGCTTATGTGCTGAAGTTTATCTAAGCTTATGGGCTGAATTTATCGGTTGAACTGTTCACTTATATTATTTTGCATAGGTCTGACGTGCCACACATAATCAGAATAGGAAATAGCTCATCTTCTCTCGATTGGCCACGACTATATTGCCCACTTCTCATATGTAACTGGCGTTCTTTATTGGATGAAACAAATTTAAACAAATAGATTCTTGGACAAAAAACCCCCCGACTATTCCGATTTTCATAGTGCTTACGAAATACAAATAGTGCATGTCTGCCACTCAAAATAGGTTTCAAGCATTTTCACTTTGCTTTTCATAATCGGAGTCGGTCACAATAATCAAAAATGGATAGCGTCATTAGTCAGGTCAAAAAGTTGGCTCAGGATGCGGACGAGGCTACTAGGAAGAAGATCCTAAATGATCTTCGCGATCTAGCCTTATATCTTGAGACGCCGCAGGATACGATGCAGAGAATATCCTATCTGGTTCGTCTAGCCTTTTATACTGAAGCGTGTCTGATTTTGGTATAGCATCTGCAGCCACCTCTCGTTCGAATTGGACTGGACTTAAAAATTTTCGATATCCTTGCCGAAAGCGATCATCCACTGACCGTAAAAGACTTGGCTGCGAAGACAAATGCCGCACCAACACTACTAGGTGAGTTTCCATCAACGATCATGTTATTTCTCAAGTTGGATTTATGGCGAAATCTCAAGTTCATTTTCCTAACCTTGGAGATAATAGCCCGTATTCTTCGATATCTTGCCTCAGTTGGGACGATTAAGGAGATTGATGTCAACACGTTCTTTGGCAATAATGTTACCAATTATCTGAGCGATGAAGGTATTGGTAGTGCTGTATACCACAAGTAAGCTCATGTCTCCTACACATTTTTAATTTTGAGTTATCACTTTCTATCTCCCAACGACAAGGGTCGATAATCCCCGTCCGGCTTCTAACTTTATCTCTTTGTAGTGTCAATACCGTTGCTCCTGCAATTTTCGCCCTACCAGACTTTTTAGCAAAAAATAAATACCAGGACATTACAAGTCCAGTCAACACACCTTTACAACAAGCATTCAACACGGATCTGCCGGCATTTGTTTGGGCACAGACACAGCCTGACCGAATCTTCCACTTTAGCAAGTTCATGGAGGCCGATCAACGTGGAATAAGTCAATGGTTTGAGGTATATCCAATTGAGAAACGGTCCGAGAACTTGAAACCAGATCAAGCCTTGTTTGTGGACGTTGGAGGAAACATCGGTCATCAAAGTGTGGAGTTGAAACATCGACTACCTCATATCAAAAATGACATAATTCTCCAGGATTCGGAAATAGTTCTTGCAAATGCCATACCATGCGACGGAGTAAAGCCTATGGTTTTTGACTTTTTCCAACCTCAAGTTTTAAAAGGTGATCATCGACCTTCACTCTTCTGGGTGACGGTGTGTTGGATTATTATTGGTGTGAATATAATCTAATGAGACAATAGGCGCGCGAATCTACTATTTCCGAAAGATTTTACACGATTGGGCCGATGAAGATGCCCTCGAAATTTTGAAAAACACTATCTCAGCTCTGGAATCAGACTCTGTGATCCTTATTGATGAAATGGTGTTGCCTAACTCTGGTGTTCATTGGCATGCGACCCAAGTTGACCTTGTTATGATGTCCACACTTGCATCTCAAGAGCGTACAACTGCACAATGGCAATCCCTCTTGGACAAGGCAGGTCTTAAGGCACTGAATATTTATACCTACTCCACTTTGTACCATTCTATCTTGGAATGTGTACCGGTGTGAAGAGACTGGATATTTCGTTTTTCGAAAATGGCTCAACAGTAGCCACAGAATCACTTTGACTAGGGATGACACTTCTGTGCTGTTACATTTGGATTCCTTATATTTTTTGCAAGGTCCGAAGCCATTCACCAGTCAGTGTTTTGTTAAAGCTGTGTTGAAGGAAAGTCATCGGAGGTAGCAGCGTGTACGAGGCTGATTACAAGAGTGAATCTTCAGTGTCCTTTATTCTATGAAATCAGGTTATTTGTCGTGACGAAAATCTGTTGAGTTTTATGAGGGACTCACTCCATTTCAATATAGCGTAATGCAGATGCTGGCAAGATTTTGGAATCGGGATGGATGGTTTTGGCGACTAGGAAGTTATCTTTTTGAAAATGGAAAGACATCAAGGATCTTCCCGTCCCCTTTGTCATAGTATACCGATTGCATTCATTGCATATTGTAGAAGTAAATGGTGCCAGTGAAAGAGGCCGAATGGAATCGTCGCTGACGCCCTTCGGATGGAGAGAGGGTCACGGAGCAGTGGCTAGCAAGACTTGAACAGCCTTTGCCTGCCCTAAATGAATCATCGGGAAATCCCGCTGGTCCCCATGTACGAGTAGAACATTCAAGGTCACCAGGTTAAATGAGGCTGGTGTTCTCAACTCCAGATAACCCTGTGCCATCATCTGATATTACACTTAATCTATCATGTCGTCCCAACGCTTTCCCGGCGTCCTCTATGCTGAAGTTCTCGCTGGGTGACTGATTTGCGGGATTATGGAGCATGAAAATATCAAGAAGTATTACGTATAAGGTTGAAGGGAACACTGTCGCCTGGTATTATGTACATCTAGGGACTAGCGCGGAACTCCCTCAATGAGTCTGAGGCTAATCTTTTCAAAAGAGCCAGAACTTTAGAGTAGGGCCAATTTAGTGAATGCGCTTATATAGAAACTCAGCCACCTATTCAAACCAAGTGCCGGATTAGCGGCGATGGTTTTTGAAGTCATTGAGGGGGACGCTTAGCTCCAGCCTGTGCAATTCGCTTCTGCACCTCCTCTTTGGTCAGAATCTTCACTGCATTCTTGGAGAAGACATAACTTAGGCCGGACCAGATCGTAGTCCCTGCTACTAGATACCTGCAGGACGATTCTGTAGTTAGTAAACTATGCAGGCATAGAAAACAAAATTTCGGGGCGAGAGCAAAATTAAAAATAAAACAGAAGAAAATAAAAAACATACAACAGCAGGGATTCGCTGGTGGTCACCCACCCAACTACTAACCTGCCGGCGTGTGGCTTAAGTACGGCTGAGCGGACGGGAAGCCCTGTTCTCCACACCCTGTGGTCGTATGTGGTAGAAAGACAGACCGACTGGTCTACAAGGACGGCCCCGCCCATCAAATACCCAACAACAAAACAATGCAGGTTTTATAGGGGGAAAATAGCATAAAATAAATGAACAAAAACTAGGGGTATCACTTACTGGAATCCAGTCATGGCCTCACTCAAATGCCACGCACTGATTATTGCCTCAGGCACTACAGGCAAAGCGATCGCACTTCCGACCAACACCAATTGCAGTGCCGTATTGATCTTGGAGATTTCCGTCGGCTTGACCTCTGCCGACGGGAGCGAGAAGTCCCAATACCGCGCCATAGTCTTGGGCGGCGGCAGTGAAATCCATCGGTAGTAGATAGCGGAGATGGCCAGACCTACATCACGCCCAAGAATAATCACCGCTAGCCAAACTAGGATGCACTGTTAGAAAGAGGGATGGAGACATAGACAAGAGAATGAGGGTCGATCCACTGCCACATACCAGGAAGAGATCCGTTAACCGCCAAGCAGGCCACTCCGATCGTCATGAGCAGCTTGTCAGCCATTGGATCGATGATAGTGCCCACCACTGTCTGCAGATTGTACCGTCGGGCAATATAGCCGTCGACCAAATCTGTAACGCCTGCATAGGCAAACAGCGAGAGGGCCGCTGCATGGTAGTCATGGACCAGTAAGTATCCCACTACAGGGGCTGCCACTAGCCGGGAAAAGGTGAGAATATTGGGAACAGTGTAGATGTTCTCATGGCTTTGCGGGATAGGAATCTTGGAGAGAATTCGCTTCGTGGCGGTTTTCGGGCTGTCGCTTGTTAGTCGAATGCCAGGTAGTATACACCCCGAGCATAGAAAACCAAAGGAACAGGAAAGGAAACCTACAGGTCAGCTGTTTCATTCTTCAGATCGTTAGGTGGTTTTGATGTAGACCGTCTTTTGTGCACAAGACCAGAGGTGGAGACAATCGAAAAGCCTGTACGTGCTTTTGAATTCCTGGTACGTCCGGAGTCAGACTAGAGAAAAAGTAAAATCGCATCAAAGACAACATACTGGACTGCAAGCCGGGCTGAGTTGCATGTCTGAATCCAACGGGGGTTTAATCCAGCTCTTAACTGGGGTGCCCGGCATGCATGTGGCCGAGATGCAAGACAGGGACTGCCTTGAAGCGGCCGGAATCCCCGGTATGCTTGGGACAGTGGCAATACACGGGCTGCACGTAATGGAAGCATTATGATAAACAAGAACAAAAGGAAAAGATAGAACAGTTGCACAAAGAGTGGTACAGGCAAATTTAGAGATAGCGACTAACACATGCTCTGCAATGCTGTGGTAGGAGAGTGCTGGATCAATGTGGTGCGTTGTCTGCACAATGAGCAACAGGTGATGCCTCAGGCCAGGTGCTGCGAAAGAAGGTAAGCTAATCCAGTGAAACCAGCGAAGACACTTTGTTCCTTTTGTTGCTGAGATAAAGACCGAACGCAATATAGTACAGGTGAAAAGCTGATAGGGCACGTGAGCTGATGATTCCTAAGGTATGGGGGGTAAAGGGGGAGCAAAATGAAGCTTACCGACTAGCTGCAAGCTTGAGGATCGTCTTCCGGGGAATTTCATACAAAAAGGAGCATGCCCCAGACAGACTGATCTGTGATGGCGAAATTCAAGCCGCGGCCGCGGTCGATTTCAATGATGGACATCGGACTAAATATTCCTCCGGCCGTCTCTAGTATCCACCGATCAATACATCCCAAGGATACTTCCACACCAGTGCATCCCCACCAAACAAACCATCACGCCTTCGCAAATTTGTCAAGACTTTCATGTCCTTCTGGTTATTAAGACAGTTTCAAATATGATGAAGTCTGCCAAGATGAAAATGCGTCACTCTGGCCATCCACCCTCACCTACTCACCTGACAATGCCAGACACATGACATTCCGCCTGATAGCCGACATCATTCCGATAGCCAGGCAAAAGTCATAGTATTTTTTTTGCAGAGGCAAAAGAAAAATCAACTTTCTTTATATTATATTCAAGCTCTACGACTCTTATGCGGCTGTAAAGCGCAAGCCGATCCAGCATCCAAAAGACCAAATGGAGAGCCAGCTACGAAATCTACCAGGGGACAGCGGTGCTGTTGTTCGACAAACATTTCCAGCACAAGATGGGAAGCGCTCTGCTTCAGAGACCCCAAAATGACTCTCAAACAGACCCTTCATCTCAGCCACTTCAGCCACCTCAACCTGCACCAGCAGAGGATAACGGTCCACAGAAAAAGGTCAAGGTTCAAGATCCCAACATGTCTAATCCTCGTCTTCTGGTCAACCGTGCCTGTATATACGAGCGCCAATTACCAAGCAATGCATATATTACTGCCCATGTTGCACGTCTACAGCATGGCTACTACTCTAGCAACGCGGTGTCTGACAGAGACGCTGAGTGTGTCGATTTCCTAGCGATCAGCTTCGTCTTTCACACTCCAAATACGCTCTCGCATCGTTTCAAAGCTGCTACCATCAGAGTATCTGTTCATGGCAACCAGAAGGCTCAATCATCCCCAAAAGACCTCGTTGGGTATCCTCAAAATGCCCCACGCTTCCTTATGCATGCCCCGCACCTTATTTATGGCCATGTCTCTCCGGAGACCATGGAATGGGCATTCAGCCTAGCGGGATCCCTGGGCATCTCTGAGACTCCGGTTAGTGCCAAATTAGCCCCATCTGGGAGCCTCAACAGCCAGTACCGGCGGTACGAAATGATGCGCATCCAGGGCTCGGCCCGCTCCTTGAAGAGCCCCCGCGGTCGTGGGTTTGATATTGAAGCCGGCGAGGTTGTCTGGTCCCTTGAGGAAAATCATTTGCAGCGGTCTGGTTTGCCCCGCGAGTTCACATTCGTCATGCTCATCCAAAAGCCAGCTGCCAATAGCAATCTCACGCTGTCCCTCGAGATCGACCCCGTGCTCCAGGCCCTCTGTGGTAGTTACCCGAGCTGGCTGCTCTCATGCCCGCCATACCGGCCACAACCACGCGGGGGTGTCGATTTTCGCCAAGAAGTTGGACAACGCTTCGAGCCTGCGGATACAACCCGTGGGTTCAACTTTGCCGCGCTGGACAGCTCATTCGACGAATACATCGCCATGCCAGGTCGCCAGTTCACCCGTCAGGTAAGTTGATCCTGACTGAAATGGATGTCGAAGGAAAGATGAATGCTTTCCTCGCCACAACCGAGATTGATCTTGGCGTACAGATGAATATCCCCGAAGAGACGCCGCTACCAGCAAACAACAACCTCAACTTGAACTACCCACAGTTCAGCAACGGCTACAATATGCAGCCGGCGCAATACAACTGGGCAATCTTGCAGAACCAATCTCTTCAGCCCCAGCTGCATGAGCTGCACACAAACGCGCAGATGCAGCAATCTGGGCCATCGCGTCCGACACACAGGCCCGCTCCAGTGGCGATCGCCAATGAAGAAGCCCCCAATACGGTCAACATCAACCTCGGACTCGATACCACAACGATATCATATCTATCTTCTCTATTCCGGGCGCGGAACCCGCCAGCAACAGTTACTCGCGTACTCGCAACATCGCACCATGACCCCACGCTGGTGAGTAGTAGCAACCACAACCCTGTTGAAGTGACTGTCCCCAGCGTGACAGGCTTCGAGAGCTACGAGAATATTCGCGCCAGCATGCTGCGTACCGTTCACCCCGGGTTTGTTGAGACGGACAGAGAACCGCCTTCCAACAAGGCGGCGGTGGCACCGGGCGAGGAACCGCAAAGGGTGATGAATATGGCGAACCGGCCTCTCTCACCAGATCTCCTCTCACGTCTGGCGAATGAAAATAAGCGATAGGTATGAAGGCGTATCAAGAGGACGATTTGCGGGGATGATCGATCTAGGTATTTGCATATATTGTGAAGTTATTCCGGGGCATCTGAGGATATTTAAAGCTTTTTTGTCCTCCCCCTCCTTCCTTCTCTGTCTACATTTCTAGAGTTGTGAGAACATTTGTGGCATAGAATAGTCTTTTCGTCTTCAATATCCCGCAAGAATTCGATATCATTCATCCATAGCAACTTAAACTTTATGCCACAAGTACGGGCTGCGTTGCTCTTCATAATTTGCTTATCTATGCTCTAGACACGGCACTGTACTACACAACCTATTCGCCTTTATTATTTGTAGGGTGGATTTCAGGATATATATTTCGCCTTTTACAGATGAGGAGGGAAGCCATTCCCATGCATTTTTGTTTGGTAATAATCGCACAATGCTCATATAGTACAAGTTTTTTTTATATAATACATAGCCGATGCAAGTTTTCAATTTGACCGCGAAAACTCCAGGGGAGAGAAATAGCCAATACTCGAACTGCAAGGGCCTCAACTCTGGGACTTCTGCGGGCCAAGATCGAGCCCATTTGCCTCCCCTCGCCGTATAGTCTCCGCGAACAGCTGTTTGCAGGGTACTCGACTGCCGAGTCGCGCGCAAAGCAAGAACGCCCCGCTTAGCTTGCGGTGCAAAGAGTATGTCTCTTCCGGGGGCGGCGAGAGACGCTCCCGGATCATGAGCGGGATCAAGGCGCGCACGCGGTCGGTGATCGTCTGATTCTGGAAGTCGTACAGGTCCGGGGACGAGAGCATAAACGGCTCGGCGAGGGTGACCATAGACGAGACGTGGGCGTCGGACATAGTCTGTGACTCCATACCGGTCAGATAGCCGAGCTGGATGGAGAGCTCGTGGCATGCAGCGCGGTCATTGCGGGACGCGGCGACGAGCGTGCGCACGTATTGGGTGATGAACTCGATCGGGTATTCGCGCGTGGCACCGAAGTCGAGAAGCTCGAGGCGGTTGGTCTGCGCGTTGTAGAGGAAGTTCGTCCAGTTCGGGTCGGTCTGCATGTACCGGAACTCGGCAATCTCGCGCAGGCAGAGGCGCATGATCTGGGTGCCGATCCAGTCGCGCTGTTCCTGGGAAAAATCCTGGATCTTGGTGACGGCGACGCCCTCAAGCATTTCCATTGTTAGGACTTGCTTGCCTGAGGCTTCGGGCATGACTTCGGGCACAACGAAGGTAGTGTCGTCGCGGAGGAGTTCGCGGAACCGTGTGCCGCACTCGGCCTCACGAAGGTAGTCGCATTCCCAGGCCAGCTCGGTGCGAGCGTTCGCGATAGTTTTGTCGAGATAGAGACCGCGAGGGAGGAGACGGGAAGCTGTAAGAAGAATAGAGAGATTGTTCAGGTCAGAGTCGATGGAGTCGGCGACGCCCGGGTATTGGATTTTGACGGCCACAGGTTTGCCGGTGCTTTTGAGAACTGCGGCATGGACTTGACCGATGGAGGCCGCGGCCATGGGTATATCATCGAAAGAGGTAAAAAGATCCCGCCAATTAGGACCCAGGTTATCAACAAGCACTTTGTTGCGCTGCGATGCGGGCATATAGTCGGCTCGATCTTGAACACGCTGGAGCACTTGCTGAATGGGTTCCGGTAGCATGTTTGAATCTTGAATGCTGAGCATTTGCCCCAGCTTGAGCGCGGCACCTCGCATCTTCGACAGCTTGGCAACCAAACGTTCCATGTTGCCTGCACTGAACATGATTGAGCCTTGCTCTTGGCTGCCGGTGGCCCGGCGGACCGTTTCGCTTACGGCACCAAAGGCCATGGACGTTGCCAGTCCTCCATACTGCCATAACCTACCTAGACGAGAAGATGGAACCCGCGATTCCATCATTTGATAAGGTACGCTCTTCTCCTCAGGCATGACCTCCGCCGCTGTCGCGATCACCTCCTCTGTGACAACCTCCGTGAGATTCTCTAATTTTTGCGTCTCTGATTTGATAGCGGCCTCGACTCGGGAATCCGGCGGCATGCTCGTCTTGATCGCCTCTTGCAAAACCTGGTCTCGGTCTGCCGGCGGCCATTGTTTTTGGGGGCCCGGCTTCCCCGAGAGCATACGAGAAACCCTAGGGCTATGAAACAAACCCTGCATCATCTCCTCCGACAACTCCTGTTCATCTCCATTGGTCTTTTGCTGTTCTGAGCTCGTCGCCGAGCTGAAAACATCGGCGTTCAAGCCATCCTCTCCCCCTGCTTGAATATCTCCAGCCGCTTTGGGCAGTTTGACTCGGGGTCGGGCAGCGGAACTATCCGGCGCGGTATGCTGCGACGGCCGATAGAAAACATCCTGTTGCGGACTGACATTCAGCTGATCCGGCTTCTCCTCGCCAGTGTATTGCGCCGCGGTTGCCGGGACCTGGAATGCAGTGTCTTGTGAAGGTACCCGAGCATTATCTGAGGCGGAGAAGGTTGCATTCTTCGGGGTAGGAGTATGAGTGGATTTGTCGGCCGATGCCTCGGGGGACGCGGTCGTCGGCGAGCTGGGAGCTGTCGGCGGAGGTGGCGAGTCTTCGTTGAATCGGCGCACTAACGCGGCAGCGGCTTGTGCGGTCAAGATTAGCCCCTCGGTCTGTTCCTTGATCCCCTTGGTTAGGGACGAGGTCCGGGTGTAGACATCGAGCTGCCGTTGGCGGATGGCCAGGTGCTTGGCCGCGATTGTCTTGGAGACATTGAGGAACTGGATGGCATCCAGCAGCCTCCGGCCAGACATTGTTAAACCAGCTGTTGGTGGATGGTGGTTGGGTGGTTTGGAAGTGGAGAAGAGCAGTTCGGGCAGAATAGGGCGGTGCCGAGCAAACGGGCAAACGATCGAGTAATGCGATTGAATAAACGCATGATTAATGGGAATCGCGGGTCGCTGATAGAGAATCCGCCGGCGCGCGGCCGCCTCCGAGCACCCGCTTTTCTGCCGATCGCGCGCGCCCATAAAACTGCCTTATCGGCACTGTGTGCTTTTTTGACTTCTTCCTTTCCCCAGATTGTGAATTGAAGCCCTCGATATACCAAACCTAATCTCGAATCTCTCACTCCCACTGAATGATGCTGTCCGACAACCCGCAATCTCAGCATCTCGAGATCGAGATCGCCCAGCTCGAGGCTCGACTGCAGGACATGCGGGCCCAGCTTGGCGCCTCTCAATACCCCAGTCCTCCCTCGTCCCACCCCGACCAGAAGACACCCTGGGCCATGCCTGCAGGTTAGTTCGCAGATCAAAGACATAACGAGACTCTGTGCATTATGCTAATCTTCGAGCGAATGCAGATATCTATAAACACAACAATATTAAGAATCAATTCCACACGGAGGTCCGCTCCTCTTCCCTCCATGCGCTCCTCCTTCTCTCCGACTCCGCTCTGCCCCTGGGCTCCTTCGCATACTCCAGCGGGTTGGAGTCCTACCTCGCGCATAATAAATCCCTCCGTACCAACCCGGTCGCCTCCTTTCACCGGTTCCTAAAATTATCCATCGCTTCCATCGCCAGTACTTCTCTACCATATGTCCTAGCTGGCTACCGCCAACCCGATACCCTGGACACCCTTGATAACGATCTAGACGCATCTACCCCCTGTATCGTCGCCCAACGAGCCAGCGTGGCCCAGGGCCGTGCTCTGATCGGAGTCTGGGAGCGCGCGTTCCGCGTCAGCTTCGCAAGTCCCAGCAGGGACGTGGACACGGGTGCGCAACTCGCCGTCACCGCCATCGATGAGTTCTCCGACGCACTGAAGTCTTTTTTCGGCGAAGATGATGAATACGACATCGGTCCCAAGGGCCACTTCGCTCCCCTATGGGGAGTTGTATGCCGTGCTATGGGGTTGGATCTCCACCAAACCGCATATGTCTTCGTCCTCAACCATGCCAAGGCAGTGTTGAGCGCTGCCGTGCGGGCCTCAGTGATGGGTCCATATCAGGCTCAGAATATCTTGGCAAGCCAGACCTTGCAGGATACTATAATGAAGCGCATTGAGCGCGAGTGGGAGACAGAGGTGGAGCAGGCCGGGCAGGTAGTCCCGGCCCTAGACCTGTGGGTTGGCCGACACGAGCTGCTCTACAGCCGGATTTTTAACTCATGATTTGCATTTTACATTGGATATACCTAGCATATGGTGGCGTTTATGGGATGGGGATGTATATTATCTTGTTAGCGAAATCTCATTTGACCCATGACATTATATCACTTTCGACTCCAAAAAGAAAAGCAGTAGATTGCTGAAGGTTGATTATATACATAGGAGTTTGCATGTTGTACTTTTGATACAAAAACCTCGGAACACCATGGCTTCTTGCGTGTCAAGGTGAGAAATGCAGTTTCAAGTCAATATATTTACCATCTAGCTTTTAATGAAAAAGGATCACTATTGCTTCCATAACTGCATGAGTTTGCATTCATCATATCCCTGTCCCCTTCGGCTCGGAATCGTCATATTGACTTCTACATGACAGAGAATTCTAGAGCCAATCCGAGGGAAAAAAAATCACAGTGCGCCTCTTGGGAAGGTGGGTATCCAGAGAGAGCACAGCCCGTTCACTCAGTGCCCCAGCGCCTCGGAAAAAAGAAAAAGAAAAGAAAAAGAGATCTGAGAAAGAGAAATCCATCGATGCGACAGCCCGAATGCGATCGCATGTACAAAGAACAAGAATGCCCTTGGAGAGTAGAAGGAGCAGAAAATGAACACATCAAACGCCGGCCCCAACCTGTCCTGCTAAAACCAGCCACCAAACACCATACCATGGACCTGTCCGAAAGTGACCACTAAAAGTAGGATGGGGTACAAGAAAGGGGCATAGGAGAAGAAAAGACGAAAGAGAAAAGTGAAAAAGGTATAATACATGAAGAGAATTTTCGGGGTGGAGAATCAAAGGGTAATGTGCATGTGATCATTGCTTCCAAAAGACCGATTGCAATTGGGACACTTGCGTGATCGCGAGGTAAGGCGTTCTTCGACGCAGTCTTTGCAGAAGACATGACCACAGGTCTTGATAACTGTGTTCTTGAAGTTACGGCGACAGACCGTGCACAGGGCAAGTGTCTGAAACAGAATCCGTTAGTGAATCCATACTAAAAGCATGAAAGTAGATAGCCTTAAACTTACCCGCAACATCTCATATTCGGAAGAATTGTTGCCCAGACTCTTGTTTTTCCAATTATCCAAGCTCTTCTTTGTGTCTGAAAGCGACTGTTTCAGGCTAACAATCTCGGTCTCGGCTTGACGCAAGGCGGAAGATGTGTTGGATAGGGTGGAGTCCTTGGAGACAGATAGCGCCTTCAATTCATTGACTTGGTTCTTTAATCCTTCGGCCACAATATTGCTCTCAGTTAATTGCTGTTGAGTGGCTCGGTGCTTGTCAAGAGCCAAGTTGAGAGCTTCCTTGGTTTCATTGGCTTGTTTCTCCATGTTAGACAATAAAGCACGTGTTGCAGATTCGGAGTCCTTCAGCTGTGAAACAATATCCGATGTCTTGGAATTTTGCATGCGGAGTGTGCGAACCTCCAAATCACGAGCATCTTTGCTCTTCATGGCTGCAAAATACTTCTGATCTGCCTTTGACTTCTCAGCCGTCAATCGCGCAACCTTCTCTTCCATAGCGGCAAAGTCCGCAACCTTTTGGGATGCAAGTGTTGAGAACTTTTTATATGCCATTTGCATAGATGTCAACTCCGTGTTGAGCATGGAATATTGTTGTTCTAGACTGGTGTATTTGGAACGGAGCTCCTCGAGTGGCATATCGACCACATTCTCAGCTGATTTGGATCCTTCAATCTGTAGGCGCAGTCGCTCAATCTCCGACTCTAAAGCAGTAATTCGAGCTTCCCGAGCATCGGCCAGCTCTTGGACTTTGCCAGCGGTAGCCTTCTCCTGGTCTTGTGAAGCTTTCCGCATTTGCTGATCGGCCAATAGTTCATCGCGAGCATTTCGTATCCGAGCTAAATCGGTCTCGGCCCGCATTAATTGAGCTTCTTTCTCAGAAATAGTGCCCCGGATTTCTTCTTCCACCTGCATTTTATATGCAGTCCGCTCCGATCGGTATTTCTCAGCTTCTTCACGCAGCTGCACATTTGTTGCTTCCAGGTGGTTGATACGTTTCACTACATCTTCGTACTGTGATCGGAGTTGCTTGAAAAGGTCGGTATGGGCGTAATCGTCATCAGTCAGCTTGGAATACTGTAAGGTAGGAGAGTTAGCACAAGTTCAGCGAATAGTTGTTGAAAAAAGTTTACCTTAATCTTCAAATCACTAATTTGACCAAGCAAACTGGCATTATCAGCCTCCAGCTTCTGCAGCTGTTCCTTTTGCTTCTCGAAAGTTGCGGTGAGCCTATTATTGGTCTCCTCTAACTCAAGACTGCGTTCCGCCACGGGCGTCCCACCATTTGCGGGAGAGGACTCTTCCCGTTTTGTCTGCACACTGTCCGAACTAGGCCGTTGACCACCAAGCATAAACTGCTTCTCTAATTTGGCTACCGTTAAGCTTCGAGCGCGATCAAGTTTCTTTTCAGCCACCATGTATCGTAACGAAGCCGCTTCCAAACTCTCTTCAAGCTGCTGCTTCTCAGCTAGGGTTTTTTCAAGTTCCGAAATAGTAGCCTTTTCCTCGGCAAGCTTCTTCGCAAGTTGACTCTGGAGCTCAGCGACATCGGGAGACACATTGGCGGATGTGGATTTAAACTGAGAAATTATTTCACGAATATCATCAGAGCGTGACTTCAGGTGTGATTCAAACCCTTCGAGGTCCTCAAACTGCAGCGAACTCTTGAAAGCATGCTCTACTGGAGATGTCAGTTGTGTTCCAAGCATAGTATAGATTTTAGGAGGACATGACATACCTTTGATCATTCCCTGTGAAGAACCCAGAAGAACTTTCACTTCATCAATCAACTAAAGCTCAGTTAGTCTTCACTAGCCTCAGCAATACATAAAGCGCACGACTGATATATGAGAACCTACCTGACCGAACCAGGAGTCAATAATACGCAGGTGGTCATTGTGATGGGTGGCGGCCTTCGTCATTTGATTTAAACGTGACTCCAGAGCAACCTTCTCGCGCTTGAATTCTTGCATTTGACGCAGGATCGCATCTTTTTGGAAACGCTATTACGAGAACAGTCAGCACAACATCGCCCCAAAACCACGTTCACTTGGCTTCTCAAGTCTCCAAAATAGCTAGCTTTCAGTGATCACCTACCTCTAGGTCATCCTTCCAAGGCATATCTGCATCAGGGTGAGGTTTGCTCGCACCATTCACGGTGGTTGCTTGTTTCTTTAAAGGCGGGGCCGAGTCATTGTTATCCGCCGCAGGCCGCTTCCGGTCCTCCATTTTGACAAGATCGGTCTCTGAAGACACAACGGGGGGTTCGGCGGCCGGCATCAGTGGCTAGAAGGGCATGAAAGAGGGGGTTGAATGATCACCGCCGATCCGTCAGTCCAGTCGGCCCAAGGGACACACACCGCGACCGACCGAGTCCAACTTGACAAATGACAGACCCAGTGTTTTCAGTGACAGCCTTAATCAACGGTCAAGCAGTGTCACAAACAGGGGAGTGAGGATCAGGAGAAGGGGTGGGATGGTTAAGACTGAAGGAGTTGAAGCCAGGAGGATTTTCAACGAGGTTTAGCGTGCCGCTAGCGCCTCCCACGTGATCACAACCCACTTCCCCGACGCGCCGCGACAACTTTTCTTGATCTCGACCCCGATCCTACCTGGAACTCAGCAATGGGCCGCCATGAAGTCGTTTTCAAGCTCTGCGATTAGTAAGTAGCAGCACAGGAAGCCCTTGGTTTGGGAGATCAATCATTTGACCACCTTATGTTACAGATAAGTCGAACAAGAAGTTCGCCCCCAAGGCACCCCAGCGCCGTGGCGCACCTGCTCCCTCTGCGCCTACAAGAAGGCCCAGCGCAGCCCAGCAAGCCCAGGCTCAAGCAGCTGCCCAGGCTCTACATCATGAGAAGGAGGCCACGGATTCTGTTGCTATACCCTCGGCATCCTCTGCGGAGCCTGAGCAGTTAGAAGCCAACGAGTCCGCACTTATTCAAGCGCCCGACTCTGGACAGGCAACGCCAATTTCCTCGAAGAAAGCCACTTCTATTCCGATCCCTCAGTCCAAGCGCAAAGCATCTGTATCTAGACCGGGTATCCAGCCGTCGACTGCACCCACCGTCTCTTTTACTCCGACTCCCGAAGCCCCGCCGTCCCCACGCACCGCTCCCATTGAGTCTGAACTCCTCCCCTCGATAGAACATGATGCTCCACAGGCAGCAGCAGATGAATCTATCACCGAGGTGTCACAGTCTGCACAACACTTCGATGTATCCGATCAAGGCCCCTCCCCGAGACAATCGATCTCAGAAACTCAAGATACATCGTCAGCGCCCGTCAAGGATCGATCTCTCAAGTGGGCGAAAAAAACATCCGATATCACCAGAACACGCGGAAAGGGACCTGTACATACAGTTCCCCCCATATCACAGCCTGTACCCTCCTCGACAGGAGGAACGCCAGGAGATTCGGTTGGTCTCTCTACACCAGAGGCAAGCCAAGTTCTCGGTAAAGGGAAAAAGCGAAAGACTTCTAAGGCTAGTTCCACGGAGGCCGGGGAGAAAAAATCAAAGAAAGTTCGTCGCTGGCGGCGTGAAGCAACCCCCGAAGGAGCCGAGACCGTGGAAATTTTGCCAAATGTGATCAAGATGTCGGAACTGTGCAAAGACTTGAAGACCGGTAGAAAGTCCAAGCGGGAGACCGAACTGCGCAAGATCGAACTAGCTGAATACGAGGCCAAGCTCAAGGCTCAGGACGAAGGTACAGTCGGGACGCCAAAGAAGCCAAATGATGCACCAGTTGAGAAGACGGATCCTCTGGCCGAACACAAACCCCAGTCGGGTCCCGTCATGCGCATTGTGAATGGAGAAATTGTGCTGGATGCTGCGTCGTTGGAAGTTGATCGTCATGCTGATGCTGCTCGAGCTGCGGGCGACCTCGAAGATGTGGTCGAAAATCAGCTTACCCGTAAAGTCAATCAGGCCACTTATGGCAAACGTTCTAAAGCCGAGTCATGGGACGAAGAAATGACTGAACTGTTCTATCGCGGGCTGCGCATGTTCGGCACCGATTTCATGGTCATCAGCAAGCTTTTCCCTGGCCGTTCACGCCGACAGATCAAACTCAAGTTCAACAATGAGGAGCGTCGTGATCCTCAACGAATCAAGGATACACTCATGGGGCCGCGCGAAACTATTGACATCGAAACTTATTCTGAAATGACTAATCAGGTCTTTGATGACCCCAAAGTCATTCAGCGGGAACTCGATGATGAGAAGAAGCGTATCGAGGAACAACATGAGCAGGAAAAGAAGTTGCAGGAGGAAATGATCCGCAATCCAACCGGTACTGGCGCTGAAGGTGATGCCGCAAGTGACGACAAAGCCAATGGCATTCCCAGCAAGAGCAAAGCACGGAACAGCAGAAAACAGAGTATGAAAAATGCGGGCGGGGGAACCGAGGAAGTTCTTGGTTCTATCGATGAAATTCCTCTGGCTGCTTAAATGAATCAGTTAAATGAATCAGCTTTTCTAGCGGGCGTTGGTTAAATGGATTTCGGAGTTACTGGATATACTGAAAAGAAGGCTGAGGCGTCTGGTCCCTTTGGTTTTTATTGTTTTTTGCTGATGAATAAATACCTATACGGTGGTCACGGGCAAAACAAGGCGTTATTCTTCTCCATTGCTGCAGCCATGGCTTTACCGCACACAACTTGTTCAATTTTTGTTTCTCCGGTTATGAATACAATAACATATAGTCGATGCTTCAAATCCGCGATTCATGATGTTCTCGTGATAGCCGTCCACGCTACCTGCGCCTGGTCGATCCAAACCCAGTACTAGTTGACGTCGTTGAGGAGTGGAATTGCGAACGATTCCCCGAGCTGCCTTCTCCGGGGTCATAGCTGTCATAACTAGTGAAAGACCCTCGGTGGGAAGATCGTTGCTCGGCGTTATTGGCCCGCCGTCCCATCTGATATCCCGCCGCAGCACCGCCCAAAGCGCCAGTCCAGAAGCCCGGAGTCCAGCCATGTGCAGGATTTCGGCTTGTAAACCTCCAGTTTCGGTCATCCGCACATCCACTGTCGTATGGAGGTGGTGGTCCTTGAGGATAGTCATCACCATGGCGGCCGCCACCACCACCACCTCCCCCCCGAAGAATCCTCCCCATCCTTGTCTCCGGGCCCGGCCGCCCCTCCAATTTCTGCGAATTCCAAGGCAATTTGCAATCATTGGACCAAAAATTGAGAGAAAAACCACAATGATGATGCCGAAAAATGCAATGTTTTCTAACGTCTCCACGGTTTTGCGGAATCCGAATCCCGATGCTCGTTTTGCGCTGCTCAGCCACGAAGGCATTCCATGGTCCCCGCGAACCTTTCCGAACCTCTTTTCTCCTTGATCTGTCAGGAGCATTCGATATTCAACTCCACAGCTACCCTTCAGCACCCACTTATCGTTTGCATTCCGGTATCCTTCACAGACTACGTCTGTTGCGCCAAGTTTGAATTCGGGGGGAAGAGAGGCAGTGCAGGTCCACTGGACATCCTCCGCATCATAATCATAACCATCGTTTTTGCAGCGCATGGTTTCAACCTTGTAGAGGTCGCATATTTTCTTCGAAGGTCCTGTACAGCTGAGCTGTGGGATTGGAGATACTCGACGAGAGGTGGTGAGTCGATCGGCGCGTAGAGTTAAGGTCTGTACATTAGAGAGCAGAATTGCATCATTTCCCGGTTTGTGCGAGGCTTTGAAGCAAGTAGCAGGTGCTGCCAAAAGCAGTGCCGAGGCTGTTAGAGAAAGCCAGTGCATGATGGACGGACAAACTCCAGAGAGAGTATCAAAGGTGTGATTGCCAAAGATGCTGCATGAAGCTGATCATTAGTATGAAAAGTTAGTTTGAATGGATTTTAAAACTCCTGGCGGGCTTTGATTCGCCCCCTAGGCAGCAGGTTGAGTCAGAGGAAGTCGTGGCGGTGCCAGTCGTGATGTGCGGAGTGTCCTGAAAGATAGTTTTCCGATAAGCGATAAGCAGCTCGGCCAAGACCCACTCCACCGAGGCCGAAAGTTGGACCCAACCTCCTCGCGATCGGAGATGCTTCAATGAACAGGGGTTTCCCGGCTGCTGCTGACGATGGCGCTCCAACAACGTGAGTGTAATATCTGCAATTGATCCCATTGACCGTACTAACTCCATTCTCTCAGATGAGCCTGCGCCCATCGCGCCTCAGTCTTCGTATGCCCAATCTACAATCTATTGTGAAGTGTGAATCTAGGTCGCTAACTTCCCGACCCCTCCTCTCTGCAGATTATCCTTCACACAGGGTTTCTTGCTAGGGCAACTCTCTGTCGTATTGCTCATCGGCGCTTTCATCAAATTCTTCATTTTCGGTGAAGCCCCGCCACCCCCATCGCGCGGTCTATCCAACCGCACCTCCCACCGCCGCTACAGTTCTGTCTACAACCCTCCACAAGATACCCAGAAGACGCTCCGAGAAAAGCCGTCTACGTCAAATGTCCTGCGTCCAGTTCCAGCCTCATCCACTAATACCCGTTCGATCCTCCGCAAGACCTACTACAGCGCCATCCCCACCAACCCTTCCTCCAAACATGGGCGGCATCGCATGCACCATTCGTCGCACCAGCCTGAATCTCTGGACTGGTTCAATGTCTTGATTGCGCAGACTATCGCACAATACAGACAGACAGCGTATATCCTGAAGGACTCGCCCACCTCATCAATATTGAGCTCCTTGACCGCGGCTATGAACAACCCAGAGAAAAAGCCATCTTTTATAGACAAAATTACAGTAACGGATATCTCACTTGGAGAGGAGTTCCCCATTTTCAGCAACTGCCGCATTATCGCGGTTGATGATCCCAATTCCGATGGTGGGAGGCTACAGGCTCTCCTGGATGTTGACCTGAGTGACGATAATCTCTCCATCGCCGTTGAAACTCAATTAGTTCTCAACTACCCCAAGCCTTGCTCTGCCATTCTTCCGGTCGCTCTATCAGTCTCTGTCGTGCGCTTCTCTGGGACGTTATGTATCTCCCTGATTCCTGCATCTACTGAGCCCCTTCATACTCCGGCCACCTCCCCCACGCCTCCGGCTGCGGAAGCAGGCCCCTCCACAATTCCAACAGCACCGGGTTCTCCTAATGCCGGCGCTTCCCAGGATCAAATCCCACCCAAAAGCAGTCCAAAAAGCAATGTCGCATTTTCGTTCCTTCCGGATTACCGGCTCGATCTTTCTGTGCGGTCTCTCATCGGATCTCGCAGCAGACTGCAGGACGTTCCCAAAGTGGCCCAGCTCGTTGAAGCTCGTGTGCATGCCTGGTTTGAGGAACGTGTTGTCGAGCCCCGCGTTCAGGTTGTCGGACTCCCAGATCTCTGGCCACGCATGGGCAGAACGGGCGTGCGCACAGGCGAGGACTCTGACGCAGGGTCTACAGCCCCCCGCGGAGTGCCGGCTCAACAGAAGCTGGAGGGCCGCTTCGATTCTCTGACGACCATCCCCGAGAGCCAGAGGGGCTACGATTTCGCGGCGGGGGCTTGGATCCTCGATTAGGGCTTGGCGCAGGATCACGCAGCAGCAGTTTTAATGTAGAAATTGGTGGCTTGCGCAGCTCCAGCATGTCTCGGCATGATAGTTCTGGTGGTGTAAGTGACCAGTTCGAAATGCCGGGCTCTATGCCCGCCGGAGTGGCCACACCAAGAGATTGATGCAACACTCGTGTATGATGACCAACCTCTGCTCCCATTTATTACAACTTGTGTATATTGTAACTCTCGGAAAGAAGCTTTATCCCAATGTACACTAAAATCCGAATACAATGACGATGATACAACTCAGTAACTGGAGAATAAAACACCTCCATTCCTCATATCTATATGTGTTGATTTTTGATGTACGAAATATGTTATTGAAAAATTGAAACTAGAGACTCAATCTCTGTTCTACGGCAAGCCGTCAATCGATTCAGTCATTAAGCATGGAAACCTCATAGAAGAGGTCATCGCCGGATATCTTTAGTTTACAGTTGCGGTTGGCTTCAAAACAGTCTCCACATAGACCCTGCGATGCTGGTTGGCGTCAACCTCAGCACCACGGTTCAACGGAGTCCACTTGGGCTCGTCCTGGAAGAGACGCATTGCTTTGACATACTATGAAGCAGTTGTTAGTCATGTTAACCAACGCTCTAGAAAGTCACAAACATGACTGTATGAGCCCAGGTCATCAAAAGCAACTCACGTTCTGCTCGTTGGTCGTAAATCGGTGGTAGATACCAGCAGGCAAAATAATCATGTCGTCTTTGGACAGACAGATGCGAATCCACTCGTCCTCCTGGCCGCGAACGTCAAAGTAGCCCTCACCGTCCAAGATGTAACGGATCTCTTCATCCTCGTGCAGATGCTCTGCGAAGAACATCTTCACCTTCTCCTCGTAAACATCGCCCATAGTCTGTGGGGAGACGCAGACTTGATCGCGATTCTTGTAACCCCGCGCCGAGGCAATGCTATCGACGGCTTCAATGGTTGGGCAGTGGTGGTACAGAACGCCGAGTGAGGCGAGTGTATCCTCAGAGACAGCGCGGCCAGAGTCATGCGGCTCGCGTTGGTCGCCCTATAAATTGTTGAGAGTTATTTAGCATCCATATTCAGTTGCGTCATCGGCATAGGCACAGCGGAGTGGGGATTTTCCAAGAAGCACTGGAAAGGGGTGGAAAACCTACCGGCTTGTTGTCGTACCAGTATGCCTTCATGTTGTGACTTTTATTAAAGAGAACAAATCAGTGGAAGGAAAGAATACGGAAGTTCGATGAGAGTCCTCGAAACCACGGCCCGTTGCTGAATATCTGCAGCCCCGCAATTGGCCGATGGCGTGAGAATATTATGTCATCTATCTTATCGTACACGTGACCGGGCAATATTTTTGTCTTATCGCGCATTGAAGATTGATAGCATCTTGTCGCCCATTCTTTGGCTCAATGCATCTCATCATGGCTTCCAGGGCACGACCGGTGACTTTATTGCGCAATCGCCTCGGCTCCTGCTCTGTACCGGGTAGGTTGCGTGGCCTGGCTACTGTTTCAGATGGCGCGCAGTACGTGATTCCCCCTTATGTCCAACTTTGGGTCTAACTAAATATTCTTTCTTTCACCATCTAGACCTTACGACGTCGTTGTCATCGGAGGAGGACACGCCGGATCGGAAGCATGCGCCGCTTCCGCGCGTTCTGGGGCGCGCACCGCATTGGTGACGCCCTCTTTATCGAATATCGGCGTCTGCTCGTGTAATCCCAGTTTCGGCGGAATCGGCAAGGGAACCATGATTCGGGAAGTCGATGCGATGGATGGCGTTGCAGGACGAATTATCGACAAAGCTGGTATCATGTTCCGAGTTCTCAATCGCTCAAAGGGCCCAGCTGTTTGGGGACCTCGTGCGCAAATCGACCGCGATTTGTATAGAAAACATATGACGGAAGAATTAGTGAATACCCAGGGCCTCAGTATTCTCGAGGGCAAAGTGGCCGATATTGTTATCTCGAAAGAAGGCATGGAAAATATACCTGGTGCACAGGGCAAAATTGTTGGTGTGCGATTGGAGTCGGGTGAAGTCATTCCAACAGGCAGGGTGGTCATCACCACTGGCACTTTTTTGGGCGGTGAGATTCACATCGGATTGGAGAGTTTCCCTTCAGGACGGATGGGCGAAGCTCCAACTTATGGTCTGAGCAAGTCCCTTCGTGAGGCAGGCTTTCAGTTGGGTCGCTTGAAGACTGGAACACCTCCTCGGCTGGATATGAAGACAATCGACTTCTCGGCTTTGGAGGTCCAACGGGGCGACTCGCCCCCCATGCCATTTTCTTACCTCAACAAAACCGTCGAGGTCGGCGATGAGGGACAGCTTACGTGCTGGATGACGCATACCAACGAGGAATCACACGAAATCATCCGCGCAAACTTCGACAAGTCAATCCATATCAGAGAGACGGTTCGCGGGCCACGATACTGTCCATCCTTGGAATCAAAGATCATGCGATTCAAGGACAAGACTCGGCATCAGATTTGGCTTGAGCCCGAGGGATTTGCACCTAATGAAGTGATCTATCCTAATGGCATTTCAATGACCGTTCCTGCAGATGCGCAATACGCAATGCTGCGGACTGTCCGTGGCTTAGAGAACGTCACCATGCTTCAACCCGGTTACGGCGTGGAATATGACTACATTGACCCACGAAATCTACAGGCCACTCTGGAGACAAAATTAATCAGCGGTCTTTATCTCGCGGGCCAGATCAACGGTACTACCGGTTACGAAGAAGCGGCTGGGCAGGGCATAATTGCTGGCATGAACGCTGGTCTGGCATCACAGAGCCGAGCTCCTTTGACTCTTACTCGTTCAGACGGTTTTATCGGTATCATGATTGACGATCTCATCACCAAGGGTGTCTCTGAGCCCTATCGCATGTTCACCACCCGCAGTGAATACCGCATCTCCACGCGATCTGACAATGCGGACTTGCGCTTGACACGGATGGCTCGCGATGCCGGTGTTGTCGGCGACCAGCGCTGGCGCCATTTCACCGACACTGAAGCGCAGATCCTCGAACTACAGTCCCTCCTCGAGAAAACCAGTTTATCATCGACGATCTGGTCTCGCAAGGGCTTCAAAGTGCGAGCAGACACCTCCGTCCGTTCCGCTCTCGACATCCTGTGTCTTGACGGTGCCGACATCAACGCACTAATCCCTCATATTGAGGCTACACACGGAAATACATATACACCTCTATCGTTCGATCCCGAAATCCGCACCCGCGTGGCGATTGAAGGACGCTATGCTCCATACCTCAAGCGCCAGGAGAAGATGGCCAAGCGGTTTCAGCAAGATGAGAACCTCCTTCTGCCCACCGACATCGACTACAGCCAAATCTTTGGCATAAGCAACGAGGAAAAGCAGGCGCTCGAGCGTGTCCGGCCATCCAGCGTTGGTATGGCGAGACGTATTGAGGGTGTTACGCCTGCTGGTGCGCTTCGACTCCTGATGCATGTGCGCAAGCGCAGCGGCTTCACCAAGGAAATTGCCGAAGATGATGCCGCTGTTGCCAAGGTCCTATCCTCGTCGCCTTGATGTTCTTGCGGGAACGACTTGGCTGAACTAGTCAATCTTTTTACTAATAATCTATTATTGCGGGCATAGCGGGACGAATCTCTGGCGCTGGAATTCTTGTACAATATGGATATGGGGAAGGGTGTGGAATGTTTACTTCTTCAAGCAATGTATTATTGTATAATAGAGGATTTGGTCCTCTCTGGCACATAGAAGGAACAATATTTACATATACCTTTACACAGTACCATGTTTGTGCTCTGACACAAGTTATATATCGCAACCCGGAAACCATGGCTATTTCCAAGTACGTTCACATGCATAATTCCTTTGAGCACAAAATTGAATTATCATTGTAATTTGTAGCTTACAACCTAGCTAGCATGTTACCACAACTACCCTTGTGACCCTCTAATATTAAAAAGCAACCCTCCTAAGCCGCCCTAACAAACAATATGCAATTCTATACTGGGCCATTATGATGGATTGCACAATGACAGCGTGTCAAATGCATCAAGCCCCTCAAACTATCGATCCCAACCCAAGCTTCCGGTACAAACTCAAAAGCCCCTCGAAAAAGCAAATTTCCATGCATTCCATGCTGTTTCCCCAGACCCCCAACACGCGAAGCACCAGCCGCATGAACAATCCACCTTACCGCTATCTTGGAAATCTACGCAAGGGGTGCTGCTCCTCGACCAGGACAGGGATGTGCATGCTGCAGGACCTAAAGCTGATTCCCTAGGGCGGGGGGAGGGGGAGGGGGAGGCGGGCATTCAGTTACCCCCATGTCCTCGCGTAATGCTTATCTCGTGCAAGCTCGCGTAGCCAGAGTCTACTCAAGATGCTGGCTTGTTATCCTTTGTGGCGTATTGCATGCAGTTTGTTGATCTCTGCAGTGTCCGGCTTCCTGTTTCTCCCACCCACGCGAGTGTCTCTTCATGCATGACAGGGAGTGAATGGACGCATTCCTGGCCTCTTGTTTTTGATCCTGGTCTACCTCTGCCCCCCGTTAGACCTCTGAATGGCTGGGTTTGAACTTCCAGGAATTTCCGGGACAGGTAATGTGAACTGATGTTGCAGATCTTGCATCTTATGCATGCCAACAGGCTACAAAACATGGAACAAGGTTTCCAGAGTATTTGTCCTTACGACTACTATGACTGTGTGCCTTCTGGCAGGCAAATTGAACTGGATCCGGCCAATGGTATCGTCAGTGGTCTTGAATCCGAGACTTGAACGTGTTTGTGAGATCAATAAGCATCAAGGGAGGTAGGGGGGGTTAACGGGGGTGTATGATCCTTCCTTGAGAGTAAGGACTCCGAGACCATCAACATCTTAGTAGCAGGAACAGGATGTGTCCGGCATCATGTCATGCCGATCGACGATGGGTACCGATAGCACCATCTAGAGCATATTGATGCACATTTTTCCCATGCACCTGTCTATACTGCATGCTAATGTATATGTACTTCAATGTATGCCGAAATGCGCAATCATATCTGCGCATAGGAGACTCAGCTGAGCATGTCCCAAACTGGCTGGGCTGGGCATAAGCAGGGCGGTGCTGCAGGCTGCATGCTGCACTCCACAAGAGAACAACGCACAATCTGACCCCTCCGAACCGGCCCCTTGGCATACCACTGGATCTGAGATGCGAAGCAGCAAGAAGACAATAGAACACATCATCTCTCATGTCTCGGGGGGAAAGGCGGCTCAGATCCTTGCCCAATGCCTGGAAGCAGTGGTACATACACTCCGAGAGGGTAGGAGGTCGGGTCGTGGGCAGTTCCCGGCTTCCTGTTTGACATGACAGCATTCGAATCTACATTCTTTGTACGACGAGACAAAACTGGTGTTCCGTGCATGAGGTTGCACAAGGTGTGCGTTGGACACGAGTCCATGGCGTTGAAATCCGCTCGTCGGGCCACATGGTGTGTAGGGTTGAGTGACAAAGGGGTAGAGATGGGCAAGAAAGGAAGAAATCAGGGAGTAGTTCACCTTTCTCACTCCTCTTCTCAGTATTTGCTTTGTTTCGACTGATGGAGCGTGCATACATAGCCGTCTCCTCCTTGAGAAGTGCTTCGTAATATATACTCGGACCGAATAATTCGGCTCAATGATCCATACGCATAGAAACAGATAGTGATACAAGGATTAAGTAGAGAATATACTATTCAAAATGCAGGTTGATTAGACCTTGATAACTAGAAAAGGATTCTCTAAATCTTTTCATTACTTTGGTGTACTTTGATCTGCATTCTATAACCCTTGTATCGCCTAATCCTCCTAGATTCACTAAATCTAACAAATAGCCTCGATTGCATTTAGGGACCTAATCCCCGAGCCCACGATGGTGAGCGATGACGAGAGATGAGAAAGATTTTCAGTCCTGATGACCTGCTTTGCTTCTCCCACGGTCTCCGAGCACTCGTGATGCTGTACTTCGTACACTCAGCCGGCCTTCCCACCCATTTACAGTTTGCCAATTACACTTTACAGTTTTAACACGAATCCCGAAGGACTGGTTCGCGCGCTCGGGGTCTCTCCTGCAATCGCCTGCAAATGCAATTTTTTATCTACGCGTGCGCAGCTATCCCATAGGACGCAGCTGATATCTCATCGTCATCCCCATACAGAACGTCCGACCCAAAGTCCCAAATGATAGAGAATCCCAACGGCTGGACAGAAGGAGGTCTAACAAATACCATCGCATGCATGTTCCAATCAGGCTCCAAGAAATGAAACCAGAAAGAAAAAAAAACCTCCCTAGTTGTGAAATCAAAACAAAAGATCTCCGAGTCTTGCGAACCACTTTGAATCGTCCCACCAATCTCCACCGGCGCTCCGATGTACATGTCATTTGGAACCAAGCCTGCTCGGTTGATCTATCTTCCCTCCTCAGCGCTACCAAGGCACTAAGAAACCCAACGGACCCAGAAGCCTACTAGCCAGGAGCCGGAACCTCCAGCTACTAGCTACCTATAGTTTTACTACCTCCGCCTCCCCATAGCTAACCGTGACGACGCCAGCTTTAAGGCCCATCGAGCCACAAAACAGTGACCGGGTCGGGAGGAGAGAAAGAAGGGGGGCAAACCAGACAGAGGGCCTTGGATCGCCGAATTAGGGTGGGGGGGGCACAGTCGGACCCGAGAATGGAATAAATAGACGACCATGAAGATCCACGATCTCAGACCCCCTCCAACCCGTGATCTCAGCTGCGCGCTGTGTTCGGCATGTTTCCACTTGCCCACTTCACCCTGAGGGGCCAGCGAAGTTAGTGCAAGCGCGGTGCGAACCCCAGAAAAAGTAAAAGCAAAAGCCAAAAGCGAATACTAGACGGTCTACCTATGGGCGGCCTCGCGGGTCCGTTGAGGATGGGGATTAGGATTGGGATGGGCATTCTGGAGATTGGCAAAGATGGGCTGTGAAGCTTGCCTGGTTCTGGGCAAAGTCAAAATGGGCGGGAGCGCGAGGTAAACAGCTACGATGAGAGGATGTTTCGCGCATCACCTAGGCAGTGTATTCAATGTGTACCTACCTAGATACTCCGTGCCGGACGTCAAGGGAGTCAACTCTTCGCCAAGACGTGGCAATTTCTACGCCTACGCATTTCTTATGGTTTCCGCGTAGGCGACCACAGTGAGCGGTGTAGAGCGCGGCTGGCCCAGTTGAGTTCCTCGATGCGACGAGGAATCGCAGTGGGAATCTCCAATGATCTTCTTTCAATACTTCTTTTATTTTCTATTTTATTTTGATTATTTCCGGTTTTTTGCTAGTCCCGATCTTCGCTCAACGCCCCTTCGCATTCACATGCTTGATTCTGATGTGGCTCGACGCACTTGCATATTATTTCATATTTTCTCCCAAAATGTTTCATTTTCTTTGCCCCTGGTCTCCAATAACTTCCGGCCCTATCCAATTTGCCATCGCTTGAACGAAACCGTTGCTGGCATGAGCATGCCTAATCGGGGAATGAGACAGATTAGGATGAGATGCGGGATTGGTATAGACTCGAGAACCGAGTCTATATATCCCATGTGGTGTGAAATTGCCATGGTTCTGCGGGAAATCGTTACGACCGGGTACTCTGGTCACTCAATAATCGTAAATTGAGAGAATGTAGGAGGATAGTCATTCATTGGTCTCTATATGGAGTTGCTGATTTGAGGCGACATACATGTAACGTGCGAGAGGCTCGCTCGTGGGCTGCGAAGAGCAAAGTAACTATACTGTATATTATTAGCTCCGTATGATTAATAAGAATACGGCCATGTCTACTGGAAAAGACCGTCCCCCACGAACAACAGTTGTGTTTTCCATCACTGTGACACAATCCAGGATACCGTCGACTACGCCTAGGTATATTACAAGCCCATCATTCACGGTCGGTATTCAGAAACCGGGCCCGCAGGATCCAGGCCAGGAGATCATGCGCTATGGTCTCTCCTCGATGCTCCGGTTTGAAGCGGAGCACACAGCAAGAAATGGCCAACCCAAAAAAGAACTCAATAAGCAAGAAAAAGAATGCAAGGATGCGCCAGCCGCGTAAATCGAGGGAGAGAAAAGCGTCGACAGAACTAGGCCTAGACAGGTAATGAGTATGGTAGCTGGTATTGGCGCGGACCGGAGAGGAGAGAGACTAGAGAAAAGAAAAAGAGATAATTCCATACTGAGCGACTTCGGTACAGTGACGGAGGGACCAGAGGACGAGAGATACTCCGCACTGGGTCAGCGGTGGCCGAGTGGCCACTGATCATTGACCTTTTAACCAACAGGGCTTGGCTCGGACGCGCTGGGCACAAACAGGCGAAGATCACCCTGCGGGATTTCTGAGAGGCACGCTAGAACCCAAAAGGCCAGGGCCTGACGCCACCGGGCACCATCTCCCGGGCTAGCGAGGGCCTTGCGGATGGTGTGCCCGTTAGCGTGTCCGGGACCCCTCCGTGAGGCCTCGGGTTTGAACGGACGTTTGGTTTGGCCTTTGGTTGGATACTTATTCTTGGACCTAGAAAGGTTGA